GGTTCTGACTTGGAATGGTTCCGAATGCCTGAAAATGTTTTCAGATTGTCAAACAATGAATTGAGACAACTTTTTATAGCTTCGGAGGTGATAAAGTCTCTCGAACGTGGATTGTTTCCCGTAAATGGAAGAGAGTCAGCGAGGACACGTCAAATTCGAAGCGCGCGCGCAGTTCATCTAGATCTTCGATGATTTTGTTATTGACACAATGACACTGGTCTTGTTATTAATTTAAATACTTGATGCTTTGGATAGAAATTTTGTTGCAGTCAAAATTACTTTTATACTACACAAACAGTGGAGTTTGAGCACATTTGGTATTATGCACTCCTGTGCAATTAGTTTAATCTCTCCAATCTTTGAGTGTCCATTACTCGTAATGATACTTTCACTGGAAAGTTACCAGGTTCCTTGGTTCAGAAAGGAGGATTTATTTCTCGTTTCAGATTACCAACGATCTCTATTCATTATTGCGTTTTCTGATTATCAGTGTTTCCGAATTTTCGAAGTCACCGGCTGTTTTTTAGTAGAGTTGGATAGTGGCTAGCAGTGAAATCCAGGACGTCCGTTTTGTCCCATTTGGCGCTCGTCAGAGTTCATATCCACTCCAAAACTTGAACCCAGTACCGTTCGCTTCAAATGCTGCCGCGTTATTGAGTTTTAATAGTATTCGCGTAGGGAAACTGTACAGTTTATGTGCTTCTTTAGTACGTCTTTCAATGGAAAACACAGCCATAAAACCAATAGACAAACATGGTTCAATCCCCCCTAAGGTTCAGAAGTACCATTATAGTCAGGAATCGATTAGGAGGTTAATGTTCTTGAGCTTGACGAAAGATAGACCATTTCTAAAGTGGTCTCAACATGAATTATGATTTTTCTCATAAACCCTTTTCCGAGAAGCTCCCAATAACATATTGATAAATTGCAACATCGAAAGTTTTATTAGTGAGAGAACCTGCAATTATTGTTCTGCTAAAATCGTGGCTGCACACTGTCATGTGACAGAATCAATATAACGATTACACAAAATAGTAACGAAAATACTAACTATTTGACAGATTCTTAAAAATATCAGCACAACAAATCATATTTATGACATCAAGCATTTCATCACTTCTAAAAAGAAAAAATCAAAAAAATCTTGTTACCATCATATTATATCTTTGTATGATTTAACATTGTGAAATTTTCTTCGAAATAATACTTGGCGTAATTTTCTGGTATTTTTTTTTGAATTATATGAAAAAGGTTGGTGCACTTAATCGACAATTGACGTATTCACTAAAACGTGTCTCCAAAATAGTTGGTAATATTATCTGATTTCTCAACTTGTTCTCCCGCTTCTGCATTTCTGACACTATGAAGACTGTTTAATTCAGCATTTTTCCGTTTGGCACTTTGTTTTCTCATCACCAACGGTATTAACCTATTTGTAAAAGAATGTAACTAAATTATTACTTATATCTATATCTTTTTTCAAAATTCAGCTAACAAGGAAATAATCATCTTCACAGACATTCTGTTACAATAATGATCATTCGCCTACCCGTGACTAACTTTAGAGTGAATTACTATGGTTCTGGTAAGAAACAGTGGTTTGATGCGTTCACTGATTTTGGGAGTGAGTGATATCGGTATACTTGGCAATAATGGATAATGGTTGATTGGTATCGTTATTTAACTGAAGCTGAAAGCACAAAGTAATGGATATCAACTGCATGATCTGAAAGTAATTCACTTGTTACTAGTGTTTTATATGGTGATTTCGATTCCTGGAGAGGTGAATAATGCACGCTGTTGGATGGATCTACACAACAATAACTGTTTATTGACCAGTGGTTTCTGATGGGTGTCTTGCTCATTCCATCCCTTGATGTGAACAATCTTCTAAAATTATATTTTTTTTAACTTTGTGATAATATTATCAATGAACACAACTGAGACAAAAGATGACTAAACTAATTGACTGATAAACCTGGCATTCGATGTAGGTCTTCGAGCAGTGCCAGATGACTTAGTGAATCGCCAACAAATATATACGACATTTCTCCTTAAAGTTTACATCGTCCAACTATTTTTGCATGGTAAATTTATACTTATTGTTGAACGTTTTCTTATTGGACCAGCTAAGATGCTGCCACTGTTTGCCTTGTTGATCCTATAGATTGTCAGTGTGAATATCACTCTATTCAAATTACTTAATTCTTATTCAATTCAAAGTCTTTTCTATTGCAGACTTCACAAGACATTTATTCATCTATCGACAAAGGTTTTTTAATGATTGTAAAGACTTCTGGTATCATTTTATTGACAACCATAACTACTGAGTGATAAGATTATGTTAGCTGATGTTTGGGTTCAAAATTATCAAGTAGTTTAATTAGCTTTGGGTGCAAAATATGTCAAGAGTTTCCAGTGCATGGCGTATGATCTTCTTATGCCTTTTCAGAAGTTAAGAACGACTTCTTAATCATCTAGAAGCACTAATATGTCAGATGGTTTATGGGTGAATACTTTCATTTATAGATTATTTTTCATTTTTCATCAGCTACTGAAGATAATCAACCACAAGATAGTCATTTCTTTATAATATCCGAATTCATGAAGTTGGTATGGATTAATACGTACTAGATCAAGTCGAATTTCGTTAGTTTATGTATTGTAGCACAAATCGTTTATTTTTCAACCATGCTGGTATTTCAAACATCGGTTCTTATTTTATAAAGTGATGGATAATTCGTATTATTTTCAAAATACTTACAAGTCAAGTATGAGTGTTGTTACTAGTATGATTACAACAATGATGAATACTGTTCCTGGGAATGTTAATACAGTTGCAGCATACACAGCAGGAAGAGCCGTCAAACTTATAAGAAGACCGATTCGAGAAACAAATGCAGCAACCGATTGCATAATACCTGGACAAGAAGAAGAGGAAACATTTTTACATTATTTAATAATTCCACTAAATATTCAAAAGTTTATTCAGGTGAACAATTGCTGGTGTATTTATTGTATAGGGATGAGGTTAGAATAGTCTAGACAAATATTTGCCCTTAATCAGAAAAAATTGTCAGAAGACAGTCTAAATACGTTCCTAGGTTTTGGTAAATACACAATAATATTGAAAATCACGTAATTGACTTATCTATTGAGATTGACTACAGGTTATCAGTTTTTAGGCTTCAAAACCAACGATAAGTAAATTCGCATATGCGTTTAGAGACTATTTTTCGTCATAAGTATTTACGAATCCTTTATTAACCTTGATTTCGGATCTGTGGTTAAAGTTTGGAGTTTAGGTTAATATACTTTGTTTAAGGATTCATATTTGATCGTCAGGGTGTAGAAGAAGTTTAGAGTTTGCGTTCAGATTCTTGTCTTAGAATTATGATTCAGGGTTGAGGTTGATTTGCTTGTTATTCAATTTCTTTATGGGAAGTATTCAGCAACACTGTGATTTTTATTTTATGGTGGTAAGAAACAGTTTCCAGTTATCATTTTCAATGTTCTGAGCACATCGCTCAGGTATTTTTACTGCTCACTGTACGTGATATTAGATAGATATCGATCATTTTGACTTTCCTGCAAACTCGAAAGCAACTTACTCAATTACGACTGTTTCGTCCCTATATTACCCTTTTACCAAACTATTTCTAATAATGTTGTCTTCACTCTCTAAAGTTATGGGTTACCAGCTAGTAATATGAGCTATGAATATAACCAATTATCAAATCAACTTATATCATAATTGGACAAATTTCTAATAGTTGTATTCAGTAGTGATTAATATTAACTATATATTTACAGAAATGCACAATAAGATACACAATGTTTGTTGCGAATTGATGTAACATTTTCAAAATGGAGTGTATGGTGAACTATTTACGAGTATTTGATCTATCGCACTATATCCTTGTGTTCCAAGTGCTCAATCTATATACAACTTCGGTCCATATTACAATGGTAGAAGTTTATTGTTTAGAAGAATCCCTGTTTAATCTCATTCCATTGAAATCACTTTAAATAAAAAAAATTTCTATTTGACTTATGAAAATGAATAATACCAGTTGGCGTCATTAATTTACCTTGTATATCTTGACGGATGCTAATGGAAAGCATTGTTCGGAGTATTGGAACAAGAAAGCTCCTCATCAGTCTTGGAATAGCGGCTGAACATGGGGAAAATTATGAATTCTGATAACAATTTAGAATTCTGAAACATTATTGATATCAATAATATTATAGATAAATGTACAAATGTGGAGTTTGTAGAAATTATGAGATTTTATGGTTTACATCAAGGAATCAGCTTCCGCAACCTCGAATTAGAAATTGTTGGACGCTGACTAAGTGGTAATTCTGATAAACACTTGTCGACAGACCTGAAGGTCCTTGGTTCTGTCCACAATAATTACGACCTCGTGAATTGGTGAGAAGTACCATATTGCAACAAAGTAAATGTCTGGTGATTGCTGGTTAAAACAATTGTTTAACTAAGATCATTTCATAAAATTGATAAAGATATTCAACTTAAATTCATCAGAATTTTTCTTTAACCAATCTTTTAATGTCGATTGATAATACAAACTAGTTTTTAAAACGAAATCTCAACACAGTTTGTTTTGGTAGATAGTTTAAAATTAAGTGCTTAAAGGAGGCACACTTATAAAATTTGATATATTGACTGGTTTTTGTTTGGTCTCAACAAATAGTATAATTAGGAATCAAGAATTAGGTGTTGTTTGGGTATAGAGCTTAAAATACCAACCATTTGAGTTTTTTAATAACCTGAAGTTTGATTGACTATGATGTGAGAACTTCTAAACTTCAACCAACCAAATACAAGAGATGACGAAGCTCTTCATTAGAACTGGATCGTTAGAAGTGAAAGTAAGTATTCACAATTCATTTGTATCTATACATTGAAAGATTAGCTCTGAGAATGGAATGTTTTAGGTATCAGTTCACGTGAAGGCTTTGATCACATTCTGTCATGTCAATTGACCAGATGGTCACGAATTCGTCTAAATATTTATTTTGTTTCAAGCGTGTAAGGAGGTTGTACAAGGAACTTGTGAAAAATATTGCATGCTCAAACTCACGATTAAACTTGTGAATAGTCCGTTTATTCAATATACATTAAATATAATTAGTAGAATTAATTTGTGACGAGATGTGGAATGTAAAAGCAGTACATACACAAATTTTTATGACTGACAATTTTAAATATAAGCGATTCATTGGTAAAGTAATTGCAGCTCATAAACACTAAAGTCATGCGTTGAATTGATTTTCGAGTGAGTGAGTGATTGATAGATGTAATTACTCATGATTAAATGTAAATTATAAAAGCTTCTTACCTATATAAATCAAAATATTCGCAGTTGGTAATTGAAATCGATAGGCAATTCCAGTTAATGAACGATTCACTACCAACATTATTATTGATATAGCGAAAACTGTAATAAGTAAATTCATTTGACGCATGTGCAGCTTTTCTTGACTGAGATTTTGTTTTGTGCGAGCTGCAGACTTTCTTTTTTCATCGAATTTAATTATCACAACAGTACAGATAACTGAGATTAATGCTGCTGTCACATCAGTTACACCACTACAAAGTATTAAAAAATCAAACAAATAGAAGAATGTACTGATGATGTATTTTCTTGCATTTGTCATATAAACTGGTAGATGAAATCATCATTTCGAAACGAGTTTTGTGCTTCGAGTACTCACTTATATTGCAATGATTCTGTTCGTGACACTGGATGATCGACGTTTCAATCCCATGGAAAGTATCGTTTCCCTTAAGAAACTAAATATACCTAACATACAAATATCTGGTATATCAAGGCGTTTGATCTATATGCGGTTGTGCCACAACACAAGAGAGTGATATCTAGATTACGGAGAGCCTGAGTGGTGCTTAACTATGTAATAATCAACCGCACTCTTTCAGATTAGAAGATATAACTTGAGAGTGGTTGCCATGTGATTAAATCATTTGACAACCCTATACTGATAGTCGGTAAAAGGTCAGAAATTCGCTGCATGCAATGACGTATAGTTAGATGGGTAGAACGACTAGTTCTTGTATACGCATTATGACTGTAAGTTGAGAATATAACCATGCACTTGTTGATCGGGTCAAAATACCGTTCATTGAACATACTCATTGTTAGAGAGAGAAGGGGATCATCAACAAAGGTTTAAGAAGTTCTATTCGTTCTGCAGAGTTGAAGCTTTGAGGAATGATATGTCAGTTCACTGGAATTCTTCGCATTGAATGCAGTACAGAATAGTCTAGAATCACATAAGAACTGCTGTTTAATTTGCTTTAATGTTTGGTGAATTCTAGTCACATGATAAGCGGATGACTTCTTTTGCTATAATTAACTAAACTTTGAAAACAGTGAATCGAAACAAAACATATTATATTTGTTCTGAGCAGTAGAATCACTAGGATGAAATTACTCTATTAGCACAAAAATAAATGTGTGCTCATGATATTTCAGATGTTGATCGATGTATTGTCAAGAATGTCAATAATTTGACTTTATAGTATGATGACAAATGAATATGAATCAATGATTACTAAATTCACAGATATTACCCAAATCAGTACTTAACAATTCCTTAAAATTTGAACTTTTGGTTTATGTAATTTTATATTCGTGGTACAACTGTCCTTGTATTGTGTCATATGTACGCTTAGCTGAACGCTGTATAGTTTGGAGTGACTTCCAATGAAGTGGAAAATTAGACAAACTTTCATTCCGTTTACACTATAGCTATTTATGGACAATGTCAAATACTTAGTAAGTCTCTGTACTTTGTTAAGCTGATTTGTAGTTTGTAGGGCATAAAGAAAAGAAAACAATGAGTTTGTTCCTCTCGAAACCACTGAAATCCCATTCAGAATTTACTTCTATTTATCTACTGTAAATTTCTGTATTACTATAGTGCAAGCAGTTTTGTGAATAAAATACACTTCTTTTAGAAATTTTAAACATGTATACCAGTCCATCTGATAAAATATATTTACCTTATAGGTCAGCATTGAAAATGAATTGACTAAATAATTTGCATGTTTAACTGAGAAATGTTTGTTTTAGAAAGGAGGTTTCGTTAAATCTCTGAAATAAAATAACAAAGTATTTGTTCTAACTTGAATTTAGTCTAGAATACTTACGAATATAGTCCGACTGTTTCTGGACTCCACAAGAATGGAGGACCCATTAAATAAATGGCAACATACTGCAGATCCGCCAAAGCTGACACTGAACCAAATAGGATTATTAATACAATCAGAATAAGGACAGGATCTAAAGTTTTTAGACGCTGAAAATTTAAAAATATACTACTTGTTAACGCTAATTACTTTTGCGTACATTTGACACTAAACATTGACAGGTTATGAAACATGTTAAGTAAATCTTATCCAGTTATGTAGAGAAACGCATTCATGACTGACTGTGCATCAGTTGGTGATTTCAGTAAGTTTAGCATTTACTGTACATGTAATGTAGAATGACCAGAAACGTTTGTGAATTTCGTTAGTTATAAATTGATTACGTAATATTTATTTACAGATAAATGAGAATGTCATAGAAAATTGATCTTTGATGATAATGTTGACAGTTACTAATTCTCGAAACAGCCATGACTTTTCATTTGAAAATTTTTCTTTACACTGTTTACGTGCTTTAAATTATTTTGTTGATTCAGTTATTTATCGATAAACTGACTAAGATGAAATCTCACAATATTTGAAGTAAATTTTAAACGCATAGCCATCAGTTTTACATTCGATGACTTTTATTACGACTTGAACATTCGAAAACTGTTTCCGGAGGTTATTATTATGATTATGATTGTGATTATTTTCTTGAATTTATCATGATCAAGTTAGTGGCGCACAATTAGTTACTTGACGATTAATTCTTTGCTCAAATTTGTCTAGATAAAGTTTCCCTAGAAAATTGACACCAGTTGAAAAGAAAATGAAAACCAGTGAGCAATGAAAGGTCAAATGCTCCAGCTTGCGACTCCATAGAGGTGGATGCACACAACAACACAAGAGATGGAAACTTATACCTCTCAATATGACTTTCAGTGCAATGTTTCTGATACAATTCAATAGGTTACTATTTCTGTTGCAGTCGAGTTGTGAAATAACACGACCATGGTTAACGGTTCAATCTGGTGTGTGGTGATGATTACCCTCTGATAGTTTGACCGATACTACAATCATACAGTTTTCCACTATTGTCCATTATGCAGTGATTACTCTTCACCTACTTGAACTAAACTTAAACGGCTGATACGAATCCACGTCCATCTAAACCTTCCAAGCATGATTCAGTAAAACGCAGAAGCACTTCCACAAGTGAAGTGGGATCTTAGTGAAACTCACTGTTGATGTGTTCATGATATTATATATGAATAGTCTGCTACTATACCATCAGAAATATATTGCGTTAACACTTTGTGGTAATATCATGGTCATTTTATACTAACAATGACAGGACACATAGTAGCCATAAAAGTAAAAATAAAGTCCACTAACTTGAAATCCATCAGTAATCTTACTCCTCCAAGTTTTTTCGAATTCCATCTCTATACTACGGACGTCTTCATCTATGTCATCATTGTTTACTTCAGTAACAGGAGTTTGGTTCTGTACTTCAATTGGTTTCCTTCTGTTTCTATGTGTTTCGGGTAGAAAGAATATTAAAATTAAACTTGGAGCAAGTAAACCTAATGAGGTGTACACTGCTGCTGGAAACCCATAGTGATAAATTAGGGCACCTATGAAAAGAAATAAGGAAACCCTATTAAAGGTGAACCATATTTGAAATTCGTAATTATTATTACACTTTTATCGACAGTGGATTTAAATCAAATGAAAGTAAACGAACATTATTTGAATTTATGAATATTAAAATAAGAAGTGATCTCCAAAGATAACATTTGTATTTATGAACATGAACTGGTGGACAGAATACTAAGTACTTGAATCGCCTTCGCATGTATAGCTAGTTAAATCGATTGAAAAATATTTTAACCTTAGAATCGGATATTTTATTTGAAGAAAATCGTGTGAAGTAAGTTCAGCTAACATTTAGAACAGTAGATGAATTATACCGAGAATAATGTGCGAGATATTTTCAGTGTGAACAAATGCATCTAAGTGAAAAGATTATGAGGAGTTATAGCTTAGAAAAATACTAGTGATCGTGTTATGTTCACATATCCAGGAAGTAAGTGTAGATAATTTTTATCTAGAATGATGCTAAAATCTTCGTAATTATACCATTCAGTTCACATGGCGTAATACAATCAAGATAAGTGAACATTTTTCTCAAATTTCATATAGCGATAAAGATGGTTAAGCTAATCTTAAATTTCAGTGATCAAGATTGAAAATATATTCTTTCATTAACCTCCAATCGGTGATCCTGCTGATACACACAGTGAGGCCACGCCATCGAATATTGTAAATAGAATCCACATTTGTTTGTCAGAGGACTGTCTCCTTTCAGCGCTTTCTGCTTTTCCCGAATCTTTCAGCATAATATGGCAAACATCTACTTGAATAGTGGCAACCTGAGCAAAAAGTGATAAAAGGCCACCACCAAAAACCGCTTCCAAAAATCCGGGAAGTAAAATCAGCCACAAATTCAACTTGAACAGCACAATGATACCTGAATCGATTAAAAATTTAAAAAATTAAGTATTTTAATAGCACTCCAATTTTGACTGAAGTTGATTATATCACAACTGATTGGAAAGAACATTGATTTTAGCATACTACAGACTTAATTACATCGTTTAATTAATCTTTTCATTCTTAAGCTGTAAAGATTTAAGCATTATTTTACGTTTCTTGATAACTATCTTTAAATTCATAACAAGACTTTACCGCTGAGTTTTATAAAATGCCATGAAAGTTGACAAATTTTACAAATGGCACTGCGCCATCATAGTCAAACAAATATGTTGACCGAGCAAAAACCAACTTTCGTTTGTAGAACGAAATGCATCTTCTTTAAAATAACCAACAAGCAGCCTTAATTTACCATATTAATTTTTTTGGAAATGAAGAGTTTAACTGATTTGCTCACTAAATTTGATACGTATAATTGAAACGGTGCAGAAAATTGTGATTAAATTAACATGCCGCATGATATGATGTCAATCACTTTATTCTATAAAAAGGTTTCAGCTTTTGTTTCTTTAGAATCAGCAAATAGACTTTACGTATGAGTTATAAAATTTATAAGCCTTTTCATTACTACTTGAAATATACTTAACTACTGAATCATTACAAAAAGTACTGGAGATATGTTTGTCAAATAGTTTCGATTTCCTAACTGTGCACTTTGAAACCGATTTGTCACTTTTATTCGAGTCGAAAAAAAATAGGAGACTTTATTCCTAACAATCTGTAAGATTTTTCACATGCAAATACTCTGACTTATGAAAAGAAAAATACTGTATAAAATATGTATGCTACTCACTAGTTAAACCGATATGTAAGAGTTCACCGAATATTAAAATTCCAAGTGCTACTCGACGACCATATCGATCAGACAAATAACCCACTATTAAAGTGGTAATCAATCCGAGTGTTATACGAACTGCATTTGAAGCTGCTTCAAGAGTTGAAGCCTTTTTCTGAGCCAACTTCAGTTTATGCTTATCCACATCGGATCTGTAGGGAAACGAATTGATATTCAATGAAATAGTTCCTAATCAAAATTGATTTCAGTACAGGAATACACTCAAGTTTAAAGCACAACTGTCTTGATTGGATTAGAATAGTGTCGAGCAACTGTTAGCACATTTTCACCGCAATCTACCGCATTTATGAATATGTCCTGATGAGTTACAATAAAAAGATAGACTGCTGAGAAATACTGAAGACAATTTATATGTAACTCATTGATATCTCTAAGAACAATAATATTGATTTCTATGCAATAATTTGATGAGATCAAAAGACCGAATACTTTACACTGTTGATGCGTATCAAAATATGTGTTGTAGTCAGATCTGGTTTCGCTCTCACCAGATGCGATTGTCTATGCATAGAAAATAAATTCAGTTATGAATGCATGAAACAATTCATACAATTTGGTACTGAAACAAGTTGACAGAAAGTACAGACTCCAGGTCTGTTGTCAGTGCTGATGTCATAAATAAAAATTCGGAAATCAGTCAATTCCGCAAGTAACTGACAAGTGTTGTCTATAAACGCTCTGATCTACAATTTGATACATATTCAACGACATTATTCAGTAATTCACAACGGTGATGAAGTTGATCACAACAATTTGTTCAGCAGAAAATAAAAAAATCTTTCACTAGCTTTGTTCCATCATCACATTATTATATTATCTTGAAACATTTTGAACGCATCCTTGACCATTCAAATCTGAATTAAATCGCATGCTAGGTGAGAGCATTGAAATCCCCCAAACCAATGAGTGGTTATGAATCGTGTCAATATTTGTCAACAATGTGGTATATTTCTGATAAAATTTCAACTCACATATTTTTATATCGTTGTCTTTCCTTCTTTGTATAGTAGGGAAGACCTTGTTCAGTGACAGCGCTGAAAATGTGAAAAGATTAGGTTGTTACACGAAAAATCACTTTTTGTGGTCATTGTCAAATTTTATAGCATATTTGAATTCTATAAATGACTTTTGTTGTCTGACAATCCTGTTTAATTATCGAAATGAAATGAATTTAACAAAGTATTACAACATGGAAGTAGACAATTCACAGCCGTACATTTAAACTTAATCAAGTGAATTGTGTTGATTTCTATCTATTCAATTTTCATCACTGGCTGACGAATATCAGAGCACAGCTTGAGATTGTAGTACACTTAAACTTCATGCAATGTTTTTCAGTAGGCTTGATAAATTAGAAATCAACACCATTTGGCTAGCAAAACACATTAGTGATTGCGCAATGGTAACATCCATGTAACATTATGCAGTGTTTTTTGTGCCAAAGGACCTAGAATTCGTGAGGTACCACCTAATAATCAAATAAACTTGCACAAAAATTTAATTGTTTCTGGTGATACACTCTATTGAAGCTAAGTTCTAGTCGAGATTCATTTTGGTATGACCAAATAACTAAGTATGGTAAGACCATTACAATCTTTTTTTAATGCAGTTAAATATTAGAGACTTGAATAACCAAGAAGAACTTGTCATCGTCTTTTATATTTGCGGTGAAATTTAATTGTTGGAATACTTTTTGTGTATATGTCAAACAGTCATGTTACCTAAATAATGTAGTCAGTAAGTTAATCACCTATTCGTAATTGTATAAAGTATGTACGATTAAATGTTACTGAACAGTGGAAAAATCTATATTTTACTTGAAATAGATATTATAGAAACACTGACATCAAAAAGCACAATAATCATTATACTTACCTGTAAAACACATACTGATCAGAGAAAAACAGATTCAACTCAACAGCAAGATATAAGGTCATTGTCATGATTAAAAGTAAAGTGATTACCCTAATTCTCAGTGATTTCTGCTTGGAGTCGGTCATGATGAGAAGTCAACTGTTTTGTTAGACCGTCAAAATTAAGCTATTAAAATTTTGATGGTTAATTTTCGTAAATTTATTTGTTAATTTTTTGAATAAAATTCTAGATTTTTTGAGTATGTTATTAATTATTTCACAGTTTACTTCCAGACTGACTTATTCTATGACGTGTAGCTTTGTATTTTAAATATTTATGTGGATATCCAATCAAAATTGATATATGCATTACACTTAATAATTTGCTATGAAAAATATATTTGAATGCAGAAAACAATATGATGAACCAATTAACTAATCAATTGCGGATATGACATGTGGTCTTGTCTATCATGTTTCAAATTGTTAAACACAAAAATTTTTGATCAAACTTAATGAATTCTGATCAGCTGATCATTTTGGTGATCTAATCAAAATATGATTCTATAAAACTGCATTTAAATGGAGAATTTGGTTATGACGTTTTTAGTGTTGAAAAGAAACAAACGAAGAGGAAAACATCATAAGTCTTGAAAGTCACCTGTTATTATATCAGCTCACTTATCTTGTAATCTATGATCACTGTTTGTTAAATTAGTCGACTCCCTTATTCCGTTGATAATAAGGTTTCGTTCAACCCGTAAACTATTGTCATAGCTTATACAAATATTTGTCGCTGTTTGAACAGATAGTTTGGGAAAAACTGGGAGCCAGTTATGTAGAAAACATTATTTGAGAAAATAGTTTTTCAAATAATCTCACTAATGCAAGTTTGAATGATCCCAACGTTACGTCAAGCAATGTTGTTTGGATTTCGTCAGAATACTAATATTTACAGTGAGAATCAGCTAAAAAATACATTTAACAATCATATCAGACCTGTGCTAAAAGCTTGGTCTTAATAAGTTGGGTAAGATGGATTAAGTGTGATGTTAATGATAGGGAAAGTTCACAATGTGAAAAGTGTGTGTGTGTGTGCAACTTGATGTTATTAATCGTTAATATTTGGTGAATGAATGTTTATCATCTGTTTATTAAACATAGACGTAGAAATGTGATTTTAAGTGTTTTTAAAAGTTTAGTGGGAATGTTACTTGAGAATGATCAAAAACACAAGCAGAGATGGATAGTGGACTGCAGTGGGATCTAGGCCGCGCACTTCATCCTATTTGGAACTCGCCAGCCTTGGTATATCTGCATCCCAGAATTCATGTTCATTCGAGACTCTAACACAGTATCGTTCGCATCAAACGCCAACGCGTTATCCACTTAGCTACTTAGTTCAGATAACCACTAGCTTGTGCAGTGGGACAAAGTTTAATTCATTTATATTGGCAGTTTGAATCTACCCATTGATATTTAGGAATTCTATAGGTCAGTTTCTTTGACAAATAAACAACCTGTACGGATTGACCAGATGTTCCTTAAACCGATGTGATGTGAATCAATGCACTTCAGAAGTCAACTCTTAAATGTATTTGAGAATTTACATATGGAACAAGTATACAGGAGAGAATGAACGAATAGAATCAACAAATTTTCCAGAACATGTTCCTCCAAAGTTATGCCTAAAGTAAATTTCATACGGGTTCGATCACTGAACACCCAATGGTTACTAAACATAGCATCAACACCTGAAAAACATTAAGAATAACTCAGGGGCAACTTATACTACTCTTTGACTTCGCACGTTTCTTGAGACCAGCCAGAATTTTGGGTACATCTATTGAACACAATTTCTGTTTCTTCAACCTTACTTTCAGTTGTCTAAACGTTTGTCCTACCTTCTGTTTCCTTAAAAGTCATCCCCTCAAAAGAACCTAAACGAAACGAGACAAGGGTGGCCTCTCAACAGAATCTTAAACACGATGGTTCCTCCACGTAGTTGGGAGGCATTTAGGCATTAGACAGCTGAACTCTTTCAGGCAATACTCAAGATTTTGAGATGGCGTGAAAAATTTTTAGCTCCACCAAAATAATCAAGATGTACATTCTCGCAAGCCTCGAATCCTACAACATCGGTGTACCTCATTTCATTAAAGTAATAAGATTTTTCGGGAAATGTGTGGAGACACGCAAAGAATTAATAACGGGTTTGAAGTACACACCTTTTGAAGACAGACTGTAAGATCTCTCTTTTATGTAAATGTGTGTAAGAATTCCTCCGTTTGTTTGTAACACTTACACATTGCTTTGCCCTTAGATATTAAGGTGGTGCTTTTGAGACCTTCGTTGGTGTATCATGATGACATTTCGGCTTTGAATGAAAATACTTTCATAATTCTGTTCACGATTTCGGTCTTCTTGGATCAACAGTCTATTTGAGGGTCTTTGTAGACTGTAATAATCTTGTTTTAACCGAGGTTTAAATTTAGCAGCTGTTGCGTTACACCGGTGATTTGAATTGTTGCTGCCCGAGTTGTCTGTTGAACGGTAGGATAACCTTTTAGATTATTGATGTTATTTTGTTTGATTGAAAAAGCCATCAACTTCATGCTTTGTTTATTAAATCGTCTTTTTGCATAATCATATTCTTACCGGTTTTTGAATAAACATTGGAACTTTCTTTTTGCTCACCAGAGTATCGGCTTACATTTTGTCATATTCTCATAACTGTCTTTCATTGAGTAGCTATGCAAACATGTAGTTTTGTGATTCAGAACGATCCAGTTCTGGGCTTTTCTTAAAATCATTTCGAAGTGAGTAGTTTTGATACGTTAAATAGACCGTAGTTGAACCTTCAAATTTTATTGCATTTTATGAGTAGTTTACTTGGTTATTCCCCACGGAACACTTTTGCAACTTGCTCTAGCGATAAATGGATTCACATAATAAGTAGTTTTGTAAGGTTCGATATTGATTCTGACTTCATTAGCTTTACTGGACACCCTGGATGACAGCTTTTGGTCGTGTATCCGCACCAGATCACCGTCGGATATGCTTTGCAACTGATCTCCTAGCATCAACTAACAAACTTAATTCCCTTGTAGCGTGTCGATTTTGTTGACGTCAGGCTCACCATTTGTAGTGGTGGCCGAATTCGGCGGCAGGCTCACCATTATTGTGTACACTGGCGGGCGAATGAGCGACTGAAGCGAATCGTATGGAGCAATGTGGAGAAGGCTAATGAGCCAACTCCTAGAGATAGAGCGTGACTAAGAATTTACAGTCAGAAAAAAATAAGATAGACATAAGATCAACGAGATAGGCATGCACACACATGAATAAAAGCGAAGAATGGTTGACAGGGTCAAATAACAAATGGGACACGTCATGTGAGCTCATACAAACCAGACAATAATAAGAACGAATGGTACATATAAGTTGTTGCTACGCAAATGGCTTGGTTAAATAAATTATTCGAAAGGGCTTAACCAAATTCAATGTAAGCGAACTGGAATATATGAGGAAGCACTACACCCTCACTCCTGGAAATCCGAAGCATCATTCGAATGTATTTTCAATCCTCCTCATTTCTGACCTCTTGTTTGATATGGCTTTAGGTGTTTCAGACAGAAGCGTCTTCTTAATGTGAATATCTGTGACATATTTATCAGTAAGCATGACGTGATTTAAGATACTAAAAGAATACTGTGAGTTAATTCCTTGTCATAAAGCTATGTATACGTTTATATATTTTTGGATATCACCATATTGCTTTTATATTACTCTAAGATGTACATTCTATCCATTTGCCAGAGCAGACATCTTAGATGCCTAAGATTATTACTTTTGCGCCCCCGAAATTTTCACTGAAGCCATCCAAGCACGACAACATTGAAGCCTGGTCCTTTATTGCAGAAGTTGGCGACTTCGAGTTCAGCGTGACAGATCCATGTTCACGAATATCTGACGTGGTAAAGGTACTACCGCGTAGGTAGAACATACACGTTACATATATTCTGTTTACTAGTTATATCTCTGAACCCTGAGACCCCCTGAGAAAAGCAATGCCTAAACAAAAAGACCTAACCAATCGATAAACCTAGAGTCACCTTTTCCATAACACTGAAATGCTTCAGAAATGTTTCGGTATTTGAGAGAGTTGGTTAGCCAATGAACTTTAAACAAAGAGCTCTTTCGACATCACCGATCCAGACTTCTCCAACAGGTGCAAACTCTTCTCGTCCCATTCCAAAGTAACAAAACGGGTTAACAAACTACACTTGCTGATCGGATTCTGGAGATCATCAAAACCTCAACCTTGGAAAAACACCTCGATCAACCTGAAACGGAATTGCCAATCAAAGTACTAACTAGTATCACGGTAGACTTATGTGACTCAGAACTAGGAAGATATTTACCACAACATATAAACAGTGCATGATATCTAGATATACCATGTTCGGTAAGGGAGTGCCAGCGATATAGTTTCCTGCACGAAGTTCTGCGAAGGGTCAGAAAACCACAAAACCATAATCTTTTCTCTTACTTCATCTGAAGACAAGTAACCTCCTCGACAAGTTGACTAATTCATTCATTTTACTTTACAGGCAAACGATAAAGTTGTAGATGCCTAGTCTCTTAAAACTTCCGTGAACAGATTTCAAGGAAATGACCTTCTAAAACTCGTTCATTTGCAAATGGAGGACACTACTTCCACACCAGCTGTCATCGAGAACTCTGGAACTACCAAGCTTAAAAGCGTAAACTTAACTTTGTGACACATCTACATGTAGGGATCGTTCAGTCGTACCGAAATAAGCAATCGTCAAGCTGATAGCAAAAAGATCTTGCTGGCCTGATATGGACAATGTTGTCACGGACTGGATACACTCCTGCAAAAGGCTACTAGAAGTCTGGGGTAATTGGGCATAACAAATGTCTCTTAGGTACCCCGAATTCTGGTGCTATTTTTAACCACGTTCTCCCTGACTTGGTAAGACCGTGATCAGATTCAAACTGGTACTCTTACCTCCTCACGTAAGTGGATCATGTTATACCATACCAAAAAACAGATTTCACCACCTTGTTTGCAAATTAAGGTTACTTTTCAGCTATTACTGCAGAAAGTAGACACTAATTCCAATCTGAACTTTTCCACCATCTTACTTCGATTCTAGGGATCTTGCGATTCGAAACGACTGCAGATTTACGGTTTGGTCGAACGATTCCACAGTTTGCACAGTGGCAATAACTTCTCTGATTCTGAGCCCCCTAGAGGCTTTCCGTTTTTATGCGGTGTACTAATACCATGCTCCTTGCAACTGAACAACCGTTTCAGACATCTGGTCACTATCTTAACTTCCGCCCTCCGAGATGGTCTAATAAACAAGGGTATGCCTGAGAAGTTTACAAAAACATCACATACAAACACCTCATGATGCAAACACTTATCTTCAATGTCCCATTAAGGCAGCTGGACCGAGTAGAGTTGCCCAGTCAAAATATTTCTCCTTAAGTTTCTTATATATGGTGTTCATGAATCAGTTCTGATGAATGTATGTAGTGATAGTGTGAACATTTAGAACCTGAATATGGACAGACAGTGTCCATAGGAATGGTCTGTAATTGAGCCTTCCGTATGAAAAGTACTTTTACAAAACCAGCAGGACTCTAGACCTGCAATCAATCATGGTGATTAGCAGATAGAAGTGGTAGAAAATTTCATGTTCCTGGTTAGCTGTGTAAGTACTGATGGTGGCATGAGTGAAGAGATCAACTGAAAGGATTACTTCTGATTTTATTTTACTTATTTTGACTGTTATTTTACTTGCAGTCATCTTCCTTTCTTTCTCTACCTCTTCGCAACTGTAATTTTATTCTACGATGCTGAAAAGGCAAAGAATAACTCCATTTTGAAGCAGGCAGTAAGAAAATATGTTGTACTGTTACATAAGCACCAAGGTAAATAGAGTGCAAGCAAGATAGACAGCTTCGACAATCGAAGTTTTACAAGAGACCATCTTAGGTCCACTTCTCTTCCTGTTATTCACTAACGATCCGTTAGTCTAAATTAGCTGATCTCCTCATATAACAGGAGTTTCATTAGTAGTGAAGAGAATTCAGCCGAGCATCAAAAAGGACCTTACATCTATTGAAAAATGGGTATTTAAAAACGGGTCAATACCAAAGCAATCGGAATGCCACGGTATGTACATTCTTCATTCTACATTGAATTGGAAGCGCTCAGTACGAGACCGTCTTGTGCATCGCATTTGAAACATTACTGTATATATTCCTCTATTGCTTGTATTTGCATTACGTGTACTTACTGAGTCGTCTGCCCATTTTTTTCTCTTGTTTTTTTCTTCTCACACACCTCTCTGCACACAAGGTACCTCCGGGCTAAACACAAACCAACCAAAGGCTGAAGTTACAGTTGTATGGTTATATCGGATTGGAATACAATAAAAAATATCTTAACCTACCAAAAGCGTGTTTAGATTCAAAAGAAAGATTTTATAAAGTAGCGGATCGATAATTTCTAATACATTCTCGGTTCTTGCATTTTTAGTTGACCTAGGGACTTATTTAATAGCTACCTACTAACTTGTATTGTTGGATTTCCTTACATATCAAAGTTGGTGTAACTATTTTCCTAGATATTACTTGCATGTTCTCACTTTTGAACGTAGAATAAGACGTAGTGGTGTTATCATATTGTACCTCGTAGTTGAACTCATAGTCAGTAAACTTTATGCTTTTGTTTATCCTAAATGTGTCATTTATGCTTCTTGTATTTACTCAACGTGTATGCTGCATTACACTCATTTTTGGTTAAATAGTCTTACGTCCTTAGGAACAGTAAATTTTCTCGTGTTGGGGAACAGTAGAAAGCTATTGTGGGGTAAACAAGAGGAAAATAAACCTTGGAACAAGAAAAAAATAGGAAAGATAAGCGATGTTGTTTTAAAACATAGTTTCTTAATTGTCAAAATTTATGGAGTTCTGTGAAATCTGTGTTAACCCGAAATAATTATCTAGAGAGTAATGAAACTTAAAGTCAGATAATGATAAGATTTAGAGTTCCAATACTCGCCATGATATGTTGTTTGATTAAAATAAGTTGAATCTTGATTTGAAGGTACCTGAGATTTCATTTAAGAACGTACAACGTTGTTTTCAAATTCATTGTAAATAGGATGAAGATGTGCATTTCTCATGAAACAAAAGCCGTTCTGAATCTTAACATTTTGGCATTATCCGTATTTGTTTCTGTATGCATGTCATTCTTCATAAGTGATCAATTTGTTTACTACAGGTAAGACAATTAGTATATTCTACATTCATAACAACTAACTGATGTTCCATCTTGGTACATAAATTTCTTTGTAAAATGATACTTGGCATTTTTGTGACTAGTTTTCATTGTCTGTATTTTTTGATACCACTCGTTTTTTGTCCCAATGACTTACATCACTTAGCGCGATCAAATGTTTACCTATTTCTTATTCATCAGATTTCTTGTTGAATTTAGAGACTGTGCTCTTCACCAGCTCTAGTTAGGCGTCTAAGTATGATCGAGACTAACAATTTAGAAACTATATTAGTTAAACTGATTCCTCCGTAATTGCCACAAAAGGAATTTGGTCCTATCTTGTAAATTGGGACAATCCGGAATTGAGACCAGTCGCATGGGATTACGTCCAGTACCCAAATTCTACCAAAGATCTCAGTCAATGTGACTGCTCAAACTCGACAACCATCCTTCAAAATCTCAGAGGTAGGGCTGTCAGGCCCTGCTGCTCTCTCCTGCTTCAGATTTCCTATAGCTTTTTCAACTTCATAAAGACTCGGAGGACTTACATCGACTTGTCATACAGGTTGACTGGAGATCGTAGGCAACCGAAGTGTGGCTGAAGGCCAGTTGAATTGATCCCTGAAGTGTTCTGCCCATCTACCCGATCTCCTTAACCTTGTGGTTTACAGCTTTTTGGATGTTATTCCAAGCTGCCTCGGGTGGGCACCACTTATTTAGTTGTCAAACTTTTTCTAGTAGTTCCTGAAATATGCTCGGCTTTGTTATCATTAAATAGAACTCTAGGATGTTTACTTGCGGTATCTTTCCTACTTGCAGTAAAATACGGACAAATACACGCTCGTATTAGAGCATAACCTGAATCCAAACATGTGCTCCAGAATAAACGACAGTCTTCTATCGAGCCTCTCCTTCGGTGGCTGATTGGGCCCAGCGTTGAGTTTATTTTGAGGGTCGCCATGTCAAAAGATGTTCCTTATGTTTAAAGTTGGTATTTGCCAATAGCCGGTTATCTGAGCACAGTTGCAGCAGGCGGTCGTCATTATTTGTTCCTTGGGTCGCGACACCATAAGATCCACCTAGGTGTCTTTCCGTTTTGCTTAGTTTATCTACTTGAGTATTAAAGTCACCTTTTACTGTTACTACATCAAAACGCCTAAAGTTTTGAAGGTCCGAAAACTGTGAAATTTATCTTTTACATCATCAGGTTTGTGGTTAGTGGGAGAGAAGGCAGAGACAAAGAAGAGGCAACGGCGAGTGTCCCTATCGCTACGAGTTCTTACTATTCTTTTAAGTCAGACAGCGCCTAAGCTACTGTCTACTAGGGTCCAGTTTATGAGAGTTGGTTCTGCCTTAAAACATTATGCTATACCTACACCAGCGAGGCCACGGGAAGCAGAAGTGGGCCTTTCAGACACACGAAGTATTGATCGAGATGGTTATTTATCTTGACCAGGATAGGTCAGGTAAATGATTGTATTCGGATCTTGTATGCACGTTTCAGATACGCAGCATACATCAATGACACAAGATTCTAAAGTCCTTGCTAAAGAAGCCTGTTGTCCTACTTGGCGCAAAGTCCGAACATTAAAAGCTACAACATGTCTTCGAGAGCGGGGTTTCAGGAGACCAGGAATAACGTTTCGTTCGCATCAGCGGATGAATGATGCAAGTCACTTCATACTGGGTTGACACTTTAATCTTAATTTGGATTGAATTTGTAGTAGTTTTTGTTTCTGGTACATTCATAGATTTTAGGAATTAGGATTATATAAATGTACTTTCCAAGTGGTCCCAGGACAGAGTTGGTTGGAGAAAACTGGTGGGCGGCCTATGCTCCATTGGGGGTAACAGGCGAAAGTAAGTAAGTAAGTACTTTCCAAGTGGTAAGCGTAAGATTCATTACATTAGTGTATATTAAATGAATTCGAAATAATTTACAAATCAGACTAATTCTTTCTCAAGTGTAAACATACTTCATATAATATACTTTGTTAACCTATTTATCATTATGAAACATTGATTCAAGCCTTAATTGTTTTTATGGTTAGTGTAACTGTCATTGTTTCCAACATTTTTCACTTATTCTTTATTTATGTAATCTATTCCACTGTTTTCACTGACTCGTAAATTGGCTTAACTGGTTTGATATCTCCATGCATTCATATAAATATTATTATATATTAAAAAACCCGACCATAGCTAATACCTTGACGTGCTAGTCGAGCTTGCCTATCGTGATGATCCAACGGAGCTATATTAAGTGGAACTTATGTTCCTGAAGGTTCTACCATGCCAGGTAGGTCGATTGGAGAAGGATCAGACTAAAAGCAGCTGCTCAAGGTCTGAGGGCGAAGTCGTACTGCTGACTGCAGAGGGGTGTGACAGCAGTGAGGTGTTTCCCTCGGACAACCAGCATCAGCAGCGATGCTGCCTTTTCACTAGGAGGAAAGGGTTGGTAAAGGTCGACACTCAGAATATCACACCTTACCCCACCTCACGGATTTCCGTCTCCTGTGGTAAGGGCTTTTAAGAGCGGAACTAATAGTCAAAAATCCTCTCATCAAAAGGCCCTTGCGTGACCAGCCTGAAGCAGTTGTCCCTTGGGCACTGCGGTCACGCTACCAGGTCTCTAAGTCCGTCACTAATCTACCTTCTTTTTCAGGTTCCTCAAGAAACAACCTTTCACGGTGTGGGCAGCCAGCAAGTGACAACCGCCCTCATACCAGTAAAAGCACGCGAGACCGAATTGGTCAAAATCAAATCCTTTCTACACCCCCTAATATCTCTCTTTTCTCCGTGACTTGCTCTACTCACATTACTTTATCTCACTGCACCGCTAATGCAAACGGTTTGAGTTCAAGTAACGTCATTCCTGGTCTCCTGAAACTACATGTTGGGGCTTTTAATGTACGGACACTGTGTCAAGTAGAGCAGCAGGCTTCGTTAGCTAGGAAATCAGAGTCTCGCTCAATCGGTGTATGCTGCGTCTCTGAAACGCGCACACAGGATCCTAGTAAAGTCATTAATCTGATTTTACCTTGTCAAAATACAGAAGCAGCTCGATTTACTCTTTGCGTATATAGAAGCCCTGATGCTGATTCCCGGGGTCTTTGGTTTAGGTATAGCATTGAGTCGTAGGGCAGAACTATCTCTTCAAGACTGGATCCCAGTAGATAGTCGCTTGTGCGCTTTCCGACTAAACGGGACAGTAAGGACTCGTAAAGATAGGGACACCCGTCGTTGCCTTTCCGTCGTACCTGCCTATGCCCCCACTGACTGCAGTTCAGACGAACGAGGTGAAAGATGAGTTCTACAGAAAGCTTTCGGACCTCCTCTTAAATGTTAGGCAATCTGATGTAGTAGTAATGGCTGGTGACTTTAATGCTCAAGTAGGTAGACTAAGTGAAAAGGAAAGACACGTGGGTGGATGTTATGGTATCGCGGGTCAGAGAACAGACAATGGCGACTGTCTGTTGCAAGTATGCTCAGTAAACCGCCTATTCCTAGCAAACACTAACTTCAGGCATAAGGAAAAACATCTTTTAACGTGGCGACCTCCGAATTCGTCTCAACGTTTTACCCAACTAGATCATATCGCCATCAGCCACCGATGGAGGGGTTTGATAGAGGACTATCGCTCGTTCTGGGGCACATGTTTAGATTCAGATCATGCCCTAGTACGAGCTCGTATTCGTTTGAGGCTTACTGGACGTAGGAAAGACACCGTAAGGAAGCCTCTTAGGGCTTTACTTAATGATAATCAAGCTAAGAAAATATTTCAGGAGGAACTAGAAAGAGAGGTGAACGACCATGTAAGCGATTCTCATCCGGAAGCAGGTTGGAATGATATCCAAAGAGCTGTGGAAACAGCAGTGATATCTGCCAGTAAGGTAAACCGTTAGGTTAGAGAGAAACACTGGATCTTAGTACCATCCACCGAACTGATAGACGCTCGAAAACTCACCCCACCTGGCTCTGAACATAACGAAGAGCAAAGTCATCTTAAGCGCAGGCTGGTAAAAAGTCTACGCAATGATCGCGAACAGTGGTGGGCAACGAAAGCAAGAGCTATGGAGAAGGCAGCGGCGATAGGCAACAGTAGACATTTGTTCCGACTTATCAAGGAAATCAGTATTATAGATCCCTAAGTCAGCGAAACTATCTCAGAAAAGGATGGCCTTATGATTGTTTCTCAATCCAGGAGATTGGGTCTATGAGCAGAATACTTCAGGGATCAATTCAACTGGCCTTCAGCCACACTTCGGTTGCCTACGATCTCCAGTCAACCTGTATGACAAGTCGATGTAAGTCCTCCGAGTCTTTATGAAGTTGAAAAAGCTATAGGAAATCTGAAGCGAAGGACAGCAGCAGGTCCTGATAGGCTTACCCCTGAGATTTTTAAGGTAGGTGGTCCAGTTTTAGCAGTTAGATTGACTGAGATCTTTGGTAGAATTTCGGAACTAGCCGTAATCCCATGCGACTGGTCTCAATTCCGGATTGTCCCAATTTACAAGATAGGACCAAATTCCTTTTGTGGCAATTACGGAGGAATCAGTTTAACTAATATAGTTTCTAAATTGTTAGTCTCGATCATACTTAGACTCCTAACGAGCTGGTGAAGAGCAGACTCGAAAAAACCAGTCTGATTTCAGACCTGGACGTGGCTGTATAGACCACATATTCATACTACTTCAGGTCCTAGAATGAAAACACACGTTCAGACGCCTCACAATAACAGTATTTCTTGACCGTAAGTGGCATTCGACTCTGTGGATCGTGAGGTTCTGTTGCAGTGTCTGTCATTGAAAGGTGTACCAAAGAATTACATTAACCTTATACAAGCTCTCTACTCGAACACCACTGGTTGAGTGAGAGCTTATGGCGAACTGTCATTGGAATTCTTTACTTCAAGTGGTGTCCGTCAGGGTTGTCCACTTTCTCCATTCTTGTTCAATTTTGTCATAGACATGCTCCTAGAAATAACCTTATCCTCGTTTGAATTTTCAGGAGTAGACCTTTTACCAGGTGGCTCGCTTATTGACTTAGAATATGCCGATGACATTGTCCTACTTGGTGAAGACGCTTACAAAATGCAGAGTCTTCTGACTACCCTAAGCAACAATGCAATCATGTTCGATATGCGGTTTTCCCCGTTGAAATGCAAAATGTTGCTTCGAGACTGGGTTGCATCGGCACCTGAACTAGTGATAGGAAGTGAAGTAGTCGAACGTGTAGACCGCTTCACGTATCTGGGAAGTCTCATCGGTACCGATGGCCTGATGATTGACGAAATCTCAGCTGGGATACAGAAGGCTCGATTAGCTTTTGTTAACCTGCGTCAACTATGCCGTAGGCGAGATATCCGCTTGCTGACCAAAGGGTGAGTGTACTGTGCAGTAGTTCGCTCCGTCCTACTATACGGATGTGAAACATGGCCGTTAGGAGTAGAGGACTTTTGTAGGTTACTAGTCTTCGATCATCGGTGTTTCTGAACCATTACTCGTGCATCCTGGGACAACTGTAGAAGCAATGCTGTCGTTAGGAAACGAGTTCTAGGTAGGGATGGCAAATCAGTAGATGAAGTAGTGAAGCTTCATCAGTTGAGATGGTTGGGACATGTTTTACGTATGCCTAACCACCGAGTGCCACGACTAGCTGTTTTGTGGTGTAGTGGGTTGGAAGAAAGCTAGGGGCGGCCAGACCAAAAAATGGCAGAAATCCATGAAGTCGTTGACAAGTGGACTGAGTCATGTCGGAAGTTGTGGACTATCTAGTTGGGGTCCGCGAGACGAAAGTCACCGATGGTTAGAAACCTTGAACAATTTGGCTTAGAATCGTTTGCAATGGCGCAAGTGCATCCACTCTTTGTGTTTTATCAAACTCTAACCTTCTGAATTCCTCAAAATCTTCTTCTAAATTTATATCACTGAATTATACTTCTCGAATCGTATCTTCGCTCCTTAATCTCCTCCATTACTGCTAATACTTCTATCATCGCTTTCACTCCTGGATTTGAACTGACATTGGCGTCTCTGTGCTGATGTAGTATGACAACATGAACTGATGTACTTACGTACGAAGTTCTGCGTTGTATCTGTCTGTCTGTCTGTCTATATTAAAAAAATCTGGATGAAGATCCAATTAAAAATAATATTGTGTGATTAAATATGTTCTAATTCACAATATCTGAATTTTTAGTTAATGCTCTTAGTATAAAACAACAGTTACCAAGATTTATTCCTTTTAGAGATAGTTTTTTAGCAGTCTTATTGACATTCTAAATACGTAACTTAACGTACATGATATCGGCAACACGGTCATAAATACTTCAATCATAATTCGGTAACATATTTGAATTATGTATTAAAGTGTATACGCTCACTAAATTCATATTCTCTACTTAATACGGTTAGATGTGACTACTTTTTCCAGTCAAAAGAAAGCTTTCTGGTCACTTTTAACTAACATTGTAAAGTAAATGGGATGTGGCTAGTAGTGGAAGCCTCCATGTCCATTTCGTTATATTTGAACTTACCAGCTCAGATGTACCTGCATTCAAGTATTCATATCTACTATGGGACACGAACCTAGTACTGTTCGTTTCAAAGACGAACGCGTTTTCCAAGCGATTAGAAAATAAATTAATATTTCAGACGTTGAGATGCGTTTTTTTGTGCATTTTAAGTGGTTGGTTTTATTCATTTGTTTATTGATTTATTTATTTTGCAGTTGTCTGTATGAGCAAGGGATTGATTATTGGTCCACAAATAAAAGTGCTGAGTGAGTTTAAATATTATTAATAATAATAAATATATAGTGAGCTATTTTTAGAGAATTTTTTTAAGGGTTCACTTGATTAATCTTGAGATACTCATGCTGTTTCGCAAATTGACTGGTGTTAGAACAACAATAGAATAAAGGTTATGAGGAATTCTGAATATCAGAATTTGAGAGAACACAAAGAATGAATGCTTCTGCTCAACCAAAAGCGATTTTGAGCCATCTCATTCAAAGTCTAGTCACTGGTTATCATTTCCCGTGGAAAACGCCTTACTACTGTCACACCTTTTCTACAGTCAGCAGTACGAATTCGCCCTCGAACCTCAAGTTGCTGCTTTTAGTGTTGCCGTTTTCCAGCTCACCTTCCTCGAATGGTAGGACCTTTAGAAACATGTGTTACAGCCAGTATAGTTTGGTTGTATCATCATTATTGGAAAACCCGATTAAGGTAGCAGCTACGATCAAGATTACAAATTGGTTAACTGAAGGACGTTTTCTTAAGTATGGCTTTAAATTCATCTTCATTCAGAGAATAAGGAGAAATAGGCTTTTTTTATTACATCTTTCAGTATGTTGCCTGTCTTGACTTTCAATATTCTGCAATTTGACTATGGGAAATCTATTTCATCTATTCAACTGCCTAATTCGTCACATCTTTCAGAACTCATCAGTCAACAGATATTATCAACCTAGAGCCTAGCGTGCTAATGGATTGGGTCAAGTTGTCATACTAAATTGACCTGATACAATGAAAATAATAAGAAAGGTCAAAATAGTGCAACAAAGATAAATAGGAAGACAACCTTTGGAATCTAGATTAAAAGAACAGTGGAAAGGCATATGTAACGAGATATTGTAATTCAAGATCGAAAGGAAAATAAAGAGTGAACGTATATACACTACTATGAATGATTCTTATCCATGTAAGCCGAAGTCCCTGATTACTAATCGCGGTTATCATGCGAATCTCAACCAGGTACTCCGCAAATACCAATATAGCTCAAATGAACATTCAGTAGCTATATGGACTGACGCAGCGTTTTGCTTTAGCTGTTCTTAGCTTCCTTCCAACCTATTTCTACACTATCAAGCTTGACCAACTGAGGTGAGTGGTAGTTAGACATACGTGACACCCAAGTTGATGGATATTCATTACCTCATCAACCGACTTTCTATCTATGGGAAGTGCCTTATGCTATCTTGACCATTTCCCAACTAGTCATTCAACAAAATATCAGCAGTGCTTTAAAAATACTGGTGATAAAAAATCTAGAGTCTATGGGTGTCTTAGGTCATATGTCGTATCTCATAGCTGTAAAGTAGGGCCGAGCGGACTCCTGAGCAGTATAAACGCTGTTTGGTTGGAGTTGATCGTCTCACCTCTACAACTGATCTAAGTCTACAAATATAGATCGAACTTTCTTAGTTCGCACACAGACTCATCCAAACCTCAACCAACTAGGACTGATAAATCATTCAAGGCAACATACGTACTTAATGCATTCATTTCATCACTAGTTCCAGTTTTGACACATCAATCCTGAGGAACAATTTTGTCTTAGTCAAAGTGGTATGCGAAAACAAAGCTTTTAGGAAACTATAAAAATGTCCTAGACTAACGCTTTAGTTTTTTGATACAAAGTCAGCAGCAATATGGTTTTGGTTTATTTGAACTTTTTTAGCACGGTTGGACTGCAGAATGCGCAGAAGAAATCTGCTTTCATACAGTCTACTAAAAATTTTTTAGGTCTTGGGACTGGAATTTTCGCAACACTATTCGTTGGTTACTTATCGGATAATTTTGGTCGACGATTGACATTAGGAATTATTGTATTGGGAGAAGCTTTAAAAATTTTGGCTATTGGTAGGTCATAAAATGAGTACCTTTAATTGTTTTTCTTTATTTTATTTTACCTTAGATCATGTGTGGGAAGATACTTTGAACCTAACTGCATGTTTTACTATGTTTGTGCATGAATTTACCAGTGATGCACCAGCGTGTAAATACAACCAAAACATATACTATGGTTAATTTCTAATAAGTCTATATTTAAGATAGCTAAAGAAAACTTCTTTTTGGTTAGGGCTACGTTACTTATCAGCTTTATGTTATGAGCCAGCCGAACTAAACCATTTCAACATCTATATGTGAACTTTCCTATGTATTTATATTTGAAAATGTGCAAAAATATCCGCAAAAGCAAATCAAATCAAATCATACATTCAGAGCAGATTGCAAACAGCTATCTTCTTCAGTTTCTAAAAATACCGTTGAGACAGACTGATTTTGACTCAAACTTTATAGTTTTGTATAAAAACCGAATACTTAGGTTTTTCTTTGCCGTAGCTGTATGGAGTTTCAAAACCGTCGTCTGATCTTTTGACTCGTGTAGTTGATCTTTATTTTTCGTACATAAATTCTTTGAGCAAACGTGTGATTGTATTGTCTTGGGAATATTGCGTATATATATCACATATTTCTGATAAACTTCACCTTCTGATTGCACCATCTAAGTACACATCTTGGTTTGTAAATAAACGAAACACTGTACTCAGAAATCCTAGCATTGGAATTTGTTAACTTGCGTATGCAATATCTTAATATTCAAAACATCATGCTCACTTATTACGCTAATTGTATGCACTAATTTTCACACTTGAAGAGCTTACGTTGTGTTTCAGTTTGATGGTTTCCACATTGTGTGTCCTATTCATTTCCACTATTTATAAACACCTATGTCCTTTTTGATTATGACTGTAGTGGTGTGGTGTATGCTACTCGTAACGTGGCTTATAAGCAGTATGCAACGGAGTGTCTCGCATAAATCATTGTCGAATTCAAATGTGTGGCACAATAAAAGAGTTTTGAAGACTAGAAAACACCCAATGATCTGCCTATTTTGTAAATAGAAGTTTGAAGATAAAGTATACCCACTTAGCTAGTAAACTGTTTTCACTCAATAAATCACTTATTCCAACTGTTCTTAACATCTTCGTTGACTACAGAAGTTCTCCAAGTTCTATCTCCATACAATAGAACTGTCTTGACTTTTGTATCGGAAATTCTGATCTTGGTATTAGTTGAAAGTTGTTTTAAGTTCCAATTGTTCTTCAGTTGTAGAAATACTGACCTTGCTTTGCGAATTCTTGTCTTCACACCTGCAATAGATCCCCTTTATCAATAATACTGCCCAGGTACGTGGAAGTTTTTACCTCTTGCAGAGCTCCACTGAGTATGACTTATTTAGTGCGTAGTGTATTATTTATAAGGATCTTGCTTTTCCTCTTGTTTATGTTAAGGCCTACTGCTGCAGAGACTGCCTATTATTATATTCCGTTCACCTCTTGAGATGATGACATCTTCAAAATTCAGTCAACCACCAGAAGACTGATAAACGGTAAGAGTAAGCAGCCTTGTCTAACAGCGGTCTTCAAAATGAGTCTATGAGCTGTCCTCCATGCACAATCTTGCTGTGTAATCCATCTTAATAATTCCGTATGTTGAATCTCTTCTCAGGTACATTCTAGTACCGAAGAAGGTTCGATTGTGTGTCCCATTATCATGTGTAAGCTGTAAATTGTTTTCTCATAGTCAAGGAAGTTGATGTATAGTTCCATTCAGCTGATTGTTCGATAATGTCTTGTTGCATTACAACCTGGTCGGTACACGATTGGTGCTTACATAACCCGGTCTGTTGATCTCAAATTTTAGCGTCTACTGAATCTTTCATTCACTTCAAATGTTTTTCTTTTTTTTGGACAGCATCTATGCAAAGTGTGCAAAGCATTTTTTCGTGAGATGGGTAAAACATTGTGGTGTGACGATTTAATGCGTGTTCTTAACTCGGTTTATAAATCAGAACATGAACTTGTATTGATGAATACGTTTATTCGGGACACACCACAAAACGAAGCGGAGAAGCAGTGAATTATAACGAATGGGCGAAGCGAATTGGAGAAGGCTAAGAGCCAACTCAAAGAGATAGAACATGACTAAGAATATATAGTCAGACAAAAATGAGACAGACATATGACAAGCGAAATAGGTATGTACACACATGAATAAAAGCGACGAATGATTGACAAGGTCAAAAGCAAGCGATACAAATCATGTGAGTTCGTGGGGATATTAAGAGTAAGTGCGTAGGCGTAAGCAATGCTCAGTAGTACAAGTTCATACAAAGCAGATAATAAAAAATACCAATGGTACATATGAGTTGTTGCTATACAAGTGGCTTGGTTAAATAAATTAATCGAAAGGGCTTAACCAAGTTAGATGTAAGCGAACTGGAATATATGTGGAGGCACTACAACATCACCTCTCCGGAAGCTAATCTTTTCTGCCTAAGTACCATGAAGTTGTACCTTTTCGTTTCCACCGAAACTTGAATGGTCACCCAGTTCCCCATATTTTGCGGAAATTCCATGTACCTATGTTAAGTGTTGCCCTGATTGTCGGGAGAAGCATCGGCGTCGTGACCTTTGAAGAAACCCAGATTTCATCATCAGACGTCATAACTCTTTGAGGTGTGGGGTTGCCAGCCTTTTGTCCAACCCTTTTTATGCGTTTCCTGGGCCCGGTAATTACTCTAGAAAGGCCCCGGGTAGAGTTAGGTTTAATTATGTGCATTCAGCTATTGAGTCCTATGTATATACACACTCATTAGAGATATAGTTATCTGATTGCTTGCCGAACGAAATATATCTTTATTTGTGATACGATGAAAAGACTAATGGTGTATCGCATTTGAGCGGAAGGAAATCAAATTTGTAATCGTACATAAGAAATTGTAATATAATAAATCATACAAACTACTAATGAGGATCTCAGCGTTTTTAACGTACATATTCGAGGATGATCCATTCGAAGTGTATTACTGGCAGCACTAGTTATAAAGACATTTGAATTATTGATCCATACAACGCTTTATTTGTTTAACCTAAAAACAACTATAGCCTGGTCTTATATTTACTGATCTTTAGGCAATTAATAATCAATATTTTTTATTATCACTCAATATTCACTGAAAATGATATAGTGATTATTTAATTATGTACCTAACTCACCACACTCAATAAAGAATTTATCCAATGAGCAATCTCACACATCTTCATGTGAAGAAATCTATTGATATAAGTTTTACATAATTATATTTTACCGGCTTCAATTATTATCTTTTTCTTAATGTTTACTTTTAATCTATTAAAGGTATTAGCGTATTCTTCAACTTTTCTCCCTGGAGTTTGATTGTATCTGAACTATTAGAAGGATCTATTGGTGGTGGATTATTATCGATTTCAGCACAATTATTTGCTTGTATAATTGACCTAACTCAAAATTCATGTAGTAAAATAGAAGTAGTATCAAGTGAAAATTTGGATTTGGTTTCACAGACAAAAAAATTACTAAAAAAACGTTGGCTTTTGTTTACATTACTCGAAGGTGTAATCACATGTGGTATGGCATTTGCAAATGCACTAACAGGTAACAATTTGGCATATATTAAATTAATAGTATTTGTTAAAAGGTATAGAATTTAGTTTCATGCAGTGATTCCGTGCAATATCAAAAATGTTTTCTTCCCGGAAAACACTTATGTGATTTATATGTAATCTTGGAAAGAGCTAATTTACAGTTGTTTACTTACGCCTGTCACGCTCAATGGAGCATGGGCCCGTGATCAGCCATCTCCAACCTCTTTCCTGAACCTTCATTTCTATCTCTATCAAATTGTTGTTCATTCTTCTCATGGCTGTCTCCAGTGCTCGACGTGGTGCTCTTTTTCGTTAGCTTTGAGAGTTCCGAGTTAAGGTCTTTTCTCATAATGCAGTTTGGTAATTTCTGCAATCTCTATCCACCTCCAGCACCTTTGCCGACTTTCTTGCTCACTTAGAATCTGGTATTCTTTTCCCACATTAAGTTGTTATTAATGGTGTCCGACGGATGAGGAGTAGCTTGCATAGAAAACAGTTGATCATCACCTGCATCTTGCGAATAATGGCTTTCGTGATTATCCAACTTTCAACTCCTTATAGTAGAGTCGTCTTCACGTTTATATTGATTGACGTTTGTATTCATTCTCAATCCAGGAGATCGGATCTATGAGCAGAACACTTCAGGGATCAATTCAACTGACCTTCAGACACACTTCGGTTGCCCACAATCTCCAGTCAACCTGTATGACAAGTCGATGTAAGTCTTCCGACTCTTTATGAAGTTGAAAATGCTATAGGAAATCTGAAGCGAGGGAGAGCAGCAGGTCCTGATAGGCTTACCCCTGAGATTTTTAAGGACGGTGGTTCAGTTTTAACAGTTAGATTGTCTGAGGGATGTCCACTTTGATAAGTTCGTCACTTAGTATGCTTGAGGCTATTACGAGTTTACCTTGGTCGATAAACGCGAACGAGACTTTGACCAGCGTCCAGGTAGGCTACATTGAATACCCAAAGTCGAAATAAAAGGCTTTGTAAGCGTAGAAGTATATTCTACAAATACCCAGCAATCACCGTACAATCAAGCATACAACTCGTTTATTTATACAACATAGGAACGTCCTTGAGACAGTTAAGAAGATAGCATACTGAAATACACAGCAGCCAATCACAGCCATGGATTTTCCTGATGGGAATTGAAATCTCAAGGTCAACTGATCAGCCCATGCTGGCAAAACGTGAAAACCGAAATACGGCATTATCAAGCGAATTTTGGGGATCTAACATCCCCAACACACTTTCAACACTCTTTAATTTTGGTTGACTGAGAATATGCCGACGGTATAGTTCTACTTGGTGAAGACGCTTACAAAATGCAGTGTCTCCTGACTACCATGAGCAGCGATTTAAGCATGTTCGAGATGCGGTTTTCCCCGTCGAAATGCAAAATGTTGCTTGATGATTGGTTTGTATCGTGACCTGAACTAGTGATATGGAGTTATGTAGTCGAGCGTGTCTATCACTTCACTTATCTTGAGAGTCTCATCAGTGCTGATGGCCTGGTGACTGACGAAATCTCAGCGCGGATACAGAAAGCTCGATTGACTTTTGCCGACTTGCGTCACTTATGGTGTAGGCGAGATATCCGTTTTTTGACTAACGGACGGGTGTACTGCGCAGTAGTTCGCTCCGTCTTACTTTATGGCTGTGAAACATGGCCAGTGAGAGTAGAAGATATTCGTAGGTTACTGGTTTTCGATCATAGGTGTCTTCGAAGCATTCGCTCGTATATTGTTCGACACCCGAGTGAGCAACGTTTTTATTAGGAAACGGGTGCTAGGTAGGAATGGCAGATCAATAGATGAAGTAATGAAACTTCATCAGTTGAGGTGGTTGGGACATGTGTTACGTACGTATGGCTAACCACCGACTACCTCGTCGAGCTATGTTTTGTGCAGGTTGAGTAGGTTGAAAGAAAGCTAGGGGCGGCCAGACCAAAACTTGGCAGAAATCCATAAAGTCGTTGACAAGTGGACTGAGTCATGTCGGTAGTTGTCGACCACCTGGTTGCGGTCCGCGGGACGATACTAGACGATTTTTATAGACCTTGGACGACATGGCTTAAAATCGTTTGCAATGGCATCCATTCTTCTGTTCTGTCGAATTCTAACCTTCTGAATTCTTCATCATCTTTATCTTCTTCTTTTAAGTGTATTTCTTCAGATTATACTTGTTGTATAATGTCCTCGAACACTATCCTCTCCTATTACTGATAATACTTTTACTACCTTTACTACTATGGGATTCGAATTGACAATTGCTTCTCTGTGCTGATGCGATATGGCAAACTGAACTTATGTACGTACGTACGTACGTACGAAGTTCTACGTTGCTGTTGATCGATTGAAGATTGTGACTTAGTTGTTTTTAGATAATTGTTTTGAGTTGCACATGTTCTTCAGTTATGGAAATGCTGCCCTTGTTCTGGTACTCCGTGCCTTTACATCTGCTTTAGACCCACCTTGTTCAACAATGCCCAACCGTATCTGCTACCTTGACATGTTATTGGCCTCAATAATACTTCGACGCTTAACGAAAGCTCGTTAAGTGCAGAATACAGAAAATCAGACTGGTTTTCGACCTGGACGTGGCTGTATAGACCATATCTTCGCACTACGACAGGTCCTGGAACACTGACACACATTTAGGCGTCCTACAATATTTGTGTCCCTGGACCATAAGGCGGCATTCGACTCTGTGGATCGTGAGGTTCTGTTTCAGTGTCTGTCATTGAAAGGTGTACCAGAGAAGTACCTTAACCTTATACTAGCCCTCTACTCTAAAACTACTGGTCGAGTGAGAGCTTATGGCGAACTGTCATTGGAATTCTTTACTTCAAGTGGTGTCCGTCAGGGTTGTCCACTCTCTCCATTCTTGTTTAACTTTGTCGTAGACATCCAATTAGAGTTAACATTAAGCTCGTCAGATTTTTCCAGGGTTCACCTTCTACCTAGAAATTCGCTTACTGATCTAGAATATGCCGATGACAGAGTTCTATTCGGTGAAGACGCTTACAAAATGCAGTGTCTCCTGACTACCATGAGCAGCGATTTAAGCATGTTCGAGATGCGGTTTTCCCCGTCGAAACGCAAAATGTTGCTTGATGATTGGTTTGTATCGTGACCTGAACTAGTGATATGGAGTTATGTAGTCGAGCGTGTCTATCACTTCACTTATCTTGAGAGTCTCATCAGTGCTGATGGCCTGGTGACTGACGAAATCTCAGCGCGGATACAGAAAGCTCGATTGACTTTTGCCGACTTGCGTCACTTATGGTGTAGGCGAGATATCCGTTTTTTGACTAACGGACGGGTGTACTGCGCAGTAGTTCGCTCCGTCTTACTTTATGGCTGTGAAACATGGCCAGTGAGAGTAGAAGATATTCGTAGGTTACTGGTTTTCGATCATAGGTGTCTTCGAAGCATTCGCTCGTATATTGTTCGACACCCGAGTGAGCAACGTTTTTATTAGGAAACGGGTGCTAGGTAGGAATGGCAGATCAATAGATGAAGTAATGAAACTTCATCAGTTGAGGTGGTTGGGATATGTGCTGCGTATGCTCAACCATCGACTCCATCGACGGGCTTTGTTTTGTAGTGTAGGATTAGGTTGGACGAAAGTTAGCGGCGGCCAAACCAAAACATACCAGAAATCCATGAATTCATTGACAAGTGGACTGAAACATGTCGGTAGTTTTGGACTACCTGGTTGGTGTCCGCGAGATGATAATGATCGATGGTTAGGGACCCTGAATGACATGGCTCAAAACCGTTTGCAGTGGCGCCGGTGCATTTATTCTTTGTGTTCTCTCAAATCCTAATCTTCTGCATTCCTCAACACTTCTAGTTTTGACTTTCTGAAATTTTCTCATTGAATCATACTTCTTGAATAATATCTTTTAATCCTAACCTCTCCGATGTCTTCTAATACCTTTACTACCTCTACTGCTATTGGATTTGAATTGACAATTGTATCTCTGTGCTGATGTGGTATGGCAACATGAACTGATGTACTTACGTATGAAGTTCTTCGTTGCATCTGACTAACTGACTGACTGTTGAACAATGATGCAGCTCAGATAAGTCAAGAATTCTACATCCTCCAAATCTTCCCTATTTTGTGTGTTATGTTTTGTGCATGTTGTATTGTATCGAATGATCTTGTTTTTTATTTTGTGTATGTTGAGACCTACTGCTGCAGAGGCTGCCGCTATACTACTTGTCTTCTGCATTTGTTGTTGCGTGTGGAACAAAAGAGCGAAGTGTGGTAATTTACTTACAAGGGACTTTTAATCAATAATGTGATGGAAATTATGTTCATTTATCGTATTTCCTTAGTTGTGTACGACTAATAGACTTAATTATTATATTAATTTACTCGATCATGCTCAAGACAGTATATACACTTGAGCTTTTCACTTTTTAGATTTTATTATTCTGAAAAACAGTTATGTTACTGTGAAAATATTTAATTCGTAACTTGTAGGACAGAATAACAGGTTGTTCAGTATCCCCTTAGCAAACAACTGTATTCTGTGGTCGTAAATGATCAAATTAAATAGCTTCCACTGAGCATCATAAACTCATAAAACAATTTTCGATGCTTCGCTAATTACTAAATGTTTATCCTAACTATACGTTATCTTTTACAGGTTTCATGATTCAAAATTATCGTTTCCACATAACAATGCTAACTTGTATAGCCTTTCTTATTCCTTCAGTGATTACATTATTTCTCGTATCTGAAACAAGTTTAAAGGCAATACAAACTGAAGTAGCAGATATTGAAAATTCATCTGATGAGCTATGCATTACAACTTCAGTAATTCAGAATGAAACTAATGAACACCAAGCGTCTCCCAGTAATTACTCAGTTCGCATACAATCTGAAGACAGGTGCATGAATAAGTTACAAGTAAAAGAATTATTGTTATCATCGTAAATTATGCATCTACTTTAAGTGTTAACATTTGTCAGAGTTAATTAACTGAAGGAAGTCAATTGACACCATTTTTGACTTCTCATTAACCTACCAGTCTGGTGGTGGCTACTCACAAGGCGTTCGCGTCATGTGCAAAAGTTGCCACCTGAGAGGAGCCCTTGGAGACTTAAATACATGACACGATCAGAGTATACTGAGAAATCAGAAGATATGTGAAAGAAAAGTCAGATACATGCTTGTATTGCAAATAGACGTTTGAACATTAAGTGTACATATTTTGTGAATAAACAGTCTTCTCTAAAAGCACATTCCATTTGAACTTGAAATCTTCGTTCGTCACACTAGTTCATATGTTATCAGATCATTATCACCTGTCCATCTAATTCCAAGAAAGCAATAACTTAAACAGTCTAGCTTAACAATATCAAGACCATGCACTCGATCTATCAAACCCATTCTGCTGAACTGTATATTATTCTTTAAACTGTAGTAATTGATTTCACGCTAAAGTCACTGAAACAATCATTTCGTAATTGATGATATATCATTTGGATTACGGTTTTGTATATTTCGAATATTACCAAATCAATGAATTATAATCTGCGATTCTCGAACGTTCTTGTCTTAATACAGTTGAGTAAGCTAGCAACTTGTGATTTAATCAAACATCTGGATTAATACACTGAAAGTAATGATGTTTTAGTCTGGTTGCAACAGGCTATCTTTATTTCAACTTTTAAGTTCTCCTGAAGGTTCTACCATGCCAGACAGGTCGATTGAAGAACGATGAGACTAAAAGCAGCTACTCAAGGTCTAAGGGCGAAGTCATACTGCTGACTGCAGATGGGTGTGACAGTAGTAATGTGTTTCCCTCGGACAACCAGCATCTGGAAGCCCTAAAGTTTCTTCCCGGGGTCTCGCTGGGGTAGATATACTATTGAGTCCCAGGGAAGAACTAGCTCCCCCAGACTGGATCCCAGTAGATAGCCGCTTGTGCGCTGTCCGACTAAACTGGACAGTAAGGACTAGGAAAGCTAGGGAAATTCGCCTTTGCCTGTTTGTTGTCTCTGCATACGCTCCCACTAATTGCAGTTCAGACGACGTGGAAAAAGAGTTTTACCGAAAGCTCTCGGACCTCCGCTAGAAAGTTAATCGCTCTGATAAAATAATAAATGTTGGTGACTTCAATGCTCAGGTAGGTAGCCATACTAAAAAAGAAAGACACCTGTGTGCACTTTATCGTGTCGCGGCTATTCGATCAGATAACAGCGACCGTCTGCTGAAGCTACGCTCACATAACGGCCTATATTTAGCAAACAGTAACTATGAGCATAAAGAAACACATCCATTCACCTGGCGACGCCCAAAAATCATCCCGACGCTTGACACAACTAGATCACTTCGCTCTCACCTACAGATATAGAAGTTCGAAAGAGAACTATCGCTCGTTCCGGGGCACGTGATTAGATTCAGATCATGCTTTAGTGCGAGCGCGTATTTGTTTGCGGCTTACTAGATGTAAGAAAGACACCACAAGAAAACCTCTTAGGTTTCTACTTAATGAGAGCACAGCTGAGAATATATTTCATGAGCAACTAAAAAAACAGTTGGGCGGCAATTTCGGTGATTCCCATTCGGAGACAGCTTGAAATGACATCCAAAGAGTTGTGGAAACAGCAGTGATATCTGCTTGAGAAACACTGGATCTTAGTAGCATCCACCGAACTGATAGACGCTCGAAAACTCACCCCACCTGGCTCTGAACATAACGAAGAGCGAAGTCATCTTAAGCGCAGGCTGGTAAAAAGTCTACGCAATGATCGCGAACAGTGGTGGGCAACGAAAGCAAGAGCTATGGAGAAGGCAGCGGCGATAGGCAACAGTAGACAGTGGTTTTTTCCGGGGTTCACCTTCTATCTAGAAATTCGCTTACTGATCTAGAATATGCCGATGACAGTGTTCTATTCGGTGAAGACGCTTACAAAATGCAGTGTCTCCTGACTACCATGAGCAGCGATTTAAGCATGTTCGAGATGCGGTTTTCCCCGTCGAAACGCAAAATGTTGCTTGATGATTGGTTTGTATCGTGACCTGAACTAGTGATATGGAGTTATGTAGTCGAGCGTGTCTATCACTTCACTTATCTTGAGAGTCTCATCAGTGCTGATGGCCTGGTGACTGACGAAATCTCAGCGCGGATACAGAAAGCTCGATTGACTTTTGCCGACTTGCGTCACTTATGGTGTAGGCGAGATATCTGTCTACCAACCAAAGGACGAGTGTACTGAGCATCAGTTCCCTCTGTCCTACTATATGGCTGCGAAATATGGCCGATAAAAGTAGAAGACATTCTTAGGTTATTTGCATTCGAAGCATTGCTCGTGTATCATGGAAGCGCGTCTTAGGTAAGGATGGCAGGTCAATAGATGAGGTAATGAAACTTCATCAGTTGAGGTGGTTGGGACATGTGTTACGTACGTATGGCTAACCACCGACTACCTCGTCGAGCTATGTTTTGTGCAGGTTGAGTAGGTTGAAAGAAAGCTAGGGGCGGCCAGACCAAAACTTGGCAGAAATCTATGAAGTCAGTAACAACTGGATTAAGTCATGTTGGTAGGTGTCGACTCCCGAGTTGGGCTCCGCAAGATGATACATTATTGTTTCTAAAACTTGAAAGAACACGATAAATAATTAAGAAATCCAAGATCTACCAAGTTATTACTATGATTTTCTTGCCTTAAAATCTATTCCTCAATTAAATAAAGTCAAAATCTGAATATATTGGGAAAATAATGCGTTTAACTCAAAAACTTTAGTTGCACTTCTAACAAAACTGTCACAACTGAAGCTGTATGAAAGATGTTACTAAACAGAGTAGTATATACTTGTGAAAAAAACTGATGCCGATTTTGGTTGTGAAGCCTGGTATAAACCAATCAGTGACTGAACAAAAACTTTAGGCACATGTGAGGTAGGTATAACATATTAGTAAATACATTTTTATGACTACTGGCTTCTGTATCGTTGAACTGTCAGTCAGTCAGCTGCAACGTAGAACTTCGTACGTAAGTACATCAGTTCATGTCGCCATACCACATTAAAACCGAAACGCAATTTTCAATTCAAACGCCATGTTATTCAAAATCTATAACCATCGGTGACTTTAATCTCAGGGATACCAACCAGGAAGCCTCCATCCATCATTTTCGTAGATGCTACTGATCTTTTATCGTGGGATGACTGTATAATCAATCTTGACTTTCTGCTTATTATGTAGTGAAAAAATAATCTTGCTTCGTTAATTTGGAACATATAGTTCTCATGGAACAAATGCTCTAATGTTTTTTTAATCCGGTTGTTTTAATACTTTTATGAATTTCGATTAATGTGCCTGTGTACCGTGTGTATTTTATCATCGTATAATATTATAATTAGGAGTTGAAGCTGAAGCATTATGTAGTCTTATGCAGTAACGCTATTCTAAATAATGAAATTCTGGTTTTTTCCCAGTAATGCTGCTTTATAAATTTAGATTTGTAATATACATAACCACTGAGTTTAATATTTTTCATCAGCGAGTTTCTGCTGAATGCACTTTGTCCGCTTCATCGTTTTTTGATATTGACATTTTTGTACTCAAGTTTATACTTATCTAAGAAATCATCAAATTCTGCCGATTTTCTCAACGATAATGGATAGTAGTACTGTTATGTGATTTTAAATAATTATCTCGTTTTAGCAACTGTTAAGCTAAATAGTTATATAAACTCTGAAATATAACTGAATTTTACATTATTTGGAAGAATAAGGATGCCAAACTTTACATTTATAGATGTTTTTTCACTGTTTTTCCTCCTTACTTTCTATAATCCGTTGCGTTATATGTAAGTGCTTTTGAATCACTTTTCAGATGGTGTCGAAACTCCCGCGTACTCATATCATAATAATCGTCGTTATTTTCATGTTTTCCATCTCTGGTTTGACGGATTCCCAATATTTATTTCTTTATTTAATGAGTAATCCTTTTCTGTGGGATGCACAAGCAGTTGGTTTGTTCATGTGAGTTTTCAAAGAAATGTTTAATCTCTTACGGAAATCGATTTTTAATCCACATCGTTAGCAAACCATATATCCATGTCCTGTTTGTCATTTCAGCACAACCGTAGCAGCTACCTTGACGTGGTGGTCGGGCTTGTCTATCGTGATGATCCAACGGAGCTAAATTGGCTGGAACATATGTTCCTGAAGGTTCTACCATGCCAGGCAGGTCGATTGGAGAACGATGAGACTAAAAACAGCTGCTCAAGGTCTGAGGGCGAAGTCGTACTGCTGACTGCAGAGGGGTATGACAGCAGTGAGCTGTTTCCCTCGGACAACCAGCATCTGCAGCGATGCTGCTTTTCACAAGGAAGGAAGGGTTAGTAAACGTCGAGATTAAGAATATCACACCTTACCCCACCTCACGGATTTCCGTCTCCTGCGGTAAGGGTTCCCACTGAGGGCTTTTAAGAGCGGAACTAATAGTCAAAAATCCTCTCATCAAAAGGCCCTTGCGTGACCAGCCTGAAGCAGTTGTCCCTTGGGCACTGCGGTCACGCTACCAGGTCTCTAAGTCCGTCACTAATCTACCTTCTTTTTCAGGTTCCTCAAGAAACAACCTTTCACGGTGTGGGCAGCCAGCAAGTGACAACCGCCCTCATACCAGTAAAAGCACGCGAGACCGAATTGGTCAAAATCAAATCCTTTCTACACCCCCTAATATCTCTCTTTTCTCCGTGACTTGCTCTACTCACATTACTTTATCTCACTGCACCGCTAATGCAAACGGTTTGAGTTCAAGTAACGTCATTCCTGGTCTCCTGAAACTACATGTTGGGGCTTTTAATGTACGGACACTGTGTCAAGTAGAGCAGCAGGCTTCGTTAGCTAGGAAATCAGAGTCTCGCTCAATCGGTGTATGCTGCGTCTCTGAAACGCGCACACAGGATCCTAGTAAAGTCATTAATCTGATTTTACCTTGTCAAAATACAGAAGCAGCTCGATTTACTCTTTGCGTATATAGAAGCCCTGATGCTGATTCCCGGGGTCTTTGGTTTAGGTATAGCATTGAGTCGTAGGGCAGAACTATCTCTTCAAGACTGGATCCCAGTAGATAGTCGCTTGTGCGCTTTCCGACTAAACGGGACAGTAAGGACTCGTAAAGATAGGGACACCCGTCGTTGCCTTTCCGTCGTACCTGCCTATGCCCCCACTGACTGCAGTTCAGACGAACGAGGTGAAAGATGAGTTCTACAGAAAGCTTTCGGACCTCCTCTTAAATGTTAGGCAATCTGATGTAGTAGTAATGGCTGGTGACTTTAATGCTCAAGTAGGTAGACTAAGTGAAAAGGAAAGACACGTGGGTGGATGTTATGGTATCGCGGGTCAGAGAACAGACAATGGCGACTGTCTGTTGCAAGTATGCTCAGTAAACCGCCTATTCCTAGCAAACACTAACTTCAGGCATAAGGAAAAACATCTTTTAACGTGGCGACCTCCGAATTCGTCTCAACGTTTTACCCAACTAGATCATATCGCCATCAGCCACCGATGGAGGGGTTTGATAGAGGACTATCGCTCGTTCTGGGGCACATGTTTAGATTCAGATCATGCCCTAGTACGAGCTCGTATTCGTTTGAGGCTTACTGGACGTAGGAAAGACACCGTAAGGAAGCCTCTTAGGGCTTTACTTAATGATAATCAAGCTAAGAAAATATTTCAGGAGGAACTAGAAAGAGAGGTGAACGACCATGTAAGCGATTCTCATCCGGAAGCAGGTTGGAATGATATCCAAAGAGCTGTGGAAACAGCAGTGATATCTGCCAGTAAGGTAAACCGTTAGGTTAGAGAGAAACACTGGATCTCAGTAGCATCTACGAAAATGATGGATGGAGGCTTCCTGGTTGGTGTCCCTGAGATGAAAGTCACCGATGGTTATAGATTTTGAATAACATGGCGTTTGAATTGAAAATTGCGTTTCGGTTTTAATGTGGTATGGCGACATGAACTGATGTACTTACGTACGAAGTTCTACGTTGCAGCTGACTGACTGACAGTTCAACGATACAGAAGCCAGTAGTCTCCTGGATTGAGAACGAATCATAAGCCCATCCTTTTCTGAGATAGTTTCGCCAACTTAGGGATCTCTAATACTGGTTTCTGTGATAAGTCGGAACAAATGTCTACTGTTGCCAATCGCCGCTGCCTTCTTCATAGCTCTTGCTTTCGTTGCCCACCACTGTTCGCGATCATTGCGTAGACTTTTTACCAGCCTGCGCTTAAGATGACTTCGCTCTTCGTTATGTTCAGAGCCAGGTGGGGTGAGTTTTCGAGCGTCTATCAGTTCGGTGGATGCTACTAAGATCCAGTGTTTCTCAAGCAGATATCACTGCTGTTTCCACAACTCTTTGGATGTCATTTCAAGCTGTCTCCGAATGGGAATCACCGAAATTGCCGCCCAACTGTTTTTTTAGTTGCTCATGAAATATATTCTCAGCTGTGCTCTCATTAAGTAGAAACCTAAGAGGTTTTCTTGTGGTGTCTTTCTTACATCTAGTAAGCCGCAAACAAATACGCGCTCGCACTAAAGCATGATCTGAATCTAATCACGTGCCCCGGAACGAGCGATAGTTCTCTTTCGAATCCCTGTCATTGATTTCACTTTAATTCTTGAATTTATCTAGCATTTTTAAATGATACTTTTTTACATCTATTTCATGTATCTAAGTTCTTCGGTACGATTTTGTGCAATCCGAAAATGACAGAATGTTTCCTAAAGATTTCGTCTGCTAATGCTTATAGTAAGTTTTAACACTTCGCACAGGTACTTGGTCTTTGCGAGTTTTGTTCTACTTGAACCCTTTATAATGAAGTGAGGGTAGGAAATAAACTAACTCAATTTTGTAATATCTTTGTATTCTTTTTAGCTTACTGTCCATTTACGATAGCTACTTTCTTATTGGCCAGAAAGTAGATGATAATTCGTAGCGGCTGTTTTAAGATTTTGCCTAAATATTATACTCTTAACCATTATTATTATTATACTGTTCACCATTAATTGTCAGTTAGTGAAAATTCTCACCGTTGCTTGATTTAGAATCGGAACATTTGATCTTTCAAGTGTTATATTTAAGTAAGTATTATGTATCTCAAGAGGGTGAAACTGATTTTGCAAATGTCTTTCTTTAGACTTCAAACAGTCCTTTTTTTGTAAACTTCGCTAGCGTTTCGAGAAGATGAGGATCATTTAAATGATATTATTTATTTTCATAATCAATTTCGATTAATCTGATCAGTAATACACCTATCAAGACATTTTTATATAAGGTCAATAAAATAATAGGTTTTAATTATATAAAGTGATAATATAAAATATCAGCGAGAAAAAATAATATTCAAACTCGGAATACTCAGGAAAACAATTGTTTTCGATAACTTCGTCATCTGGTATTATTGTGATATATCCATAGTAATGTTAGAATGGCCAAAATAAGACATAAATGAATACAATTGGAATAAGAAATCCATATAAGTTGAAAAGGATGAAGCTGTAAATCAAACATTAGACGGCAGAGATAAATATCAAAGGAGATTTCGCGTTAGGATCTACTATATAGGATGACTCAGACGTGGGTTATGGTAGGCAGAGAGGTTGAATATATTTTTGTTTGACACATAAGTTCGGTTTTTTGGAGTTAATCTCTATGCTGTAATCCTTCTCTTTCAAGTAGATTGTTCTAGACTTAGTGTAGAACTGGTATGGCTTTATTTATTTTGGTATGATTTTTGCGATCTACTAAGTGAGAAACTATGGCGCTATTGAATGATTTCATGATTCCTTTCCTAACTATCCTAATACCTGTCCATAAGCATGTGTGGTGTTCAAACTTATGTGGAGTCATGGGCTTCGTCTTTTAGCAGCCATAATATTAGTTTTTCGATGACTACTTTTATCATTTGCTTCAAAATTGTTCTCTTTGATTTTCGTACATACGGTAGTGTAATCTAAACTTTTTTCGAAATTGAATAAATTGGGTGTTTCGATGTGATCTGGCTTTTACGCGGATTAATAAATTTTAAGGAATATCCGTTTACTTATGATGTTTCCACCATCAATTTTAGATCCTCGTCAATCGTAACTGTGCCGAAGATCCTTATTGATACTAGCCTTCATCAACGTAGACATTTTTGTACTCACACTTACTGAAGGATACTATTCCAGCTACAGCAACTTAAAGAACTGGGTAACATCTCTGGATTTCATAAAGCACTTTTTTCAAACCGGAGTATACACACTTGTATTAGAACCTATCTTAAAAATTCGAATTCTTATTGTTAAATAAAAAATTCCTTTCTACCATCTGTTAACTATTCTGTGAGAGCAATCTGAATTGATAAGAAGCTAACACAGACCTAACTTGCTTGATTTAGAACAATCTACATGTAAAAAGATATAAGGCATGAATTACAGAGGTTCTCTGTGTAAATAATATTTGATTTTTTCTGATGAGTTCCAATATAGAGTATTCTAACCAACAAATATAACCTTGATTATTTTCTCTGAGTATTATTATCTTGATTGGTAGACTTTTTTTAATTTATACCTTAAAACATGTTCTACCTTTTCGTTGTTCAGAGGTTTAAGGGATGTATGCTGCACTTTTACCTCTATATTATGTGTCAGTATGGTGGTCAAATTTCGAAAGGATCAACCAACTAATGTTGAAACGACACAGAACATTGCACCAATGTCAAACAGAACCAGTACGACATTATTCAGTCGCTTAAAATCTGTGGATCAAATTCTTCTCATCATATTGGTATTTTTGGGATTCATACTTTTATCTATTCATCAAATCGTAATGGGCATAGCTTCTACACTTACCGTTCCGGCAGCCAATATTTTTGTTTATCTAGGTATGGTTTTTTGCTGATTTTTGTTTACGTTAGGACTGTTTTTAACACTATTTTTAAAATATATTCACCATAGAAGTTTAGTAAATGGTAGCATCTATACTTGTATCCTTCATATATTCTGAGATACTTGACTCAGTATTATTGATGTAATTAGCCACTACTTAGTTTTATTCGCACTTTTTAATGATCGGCGAGTGTTTATTTGGCTTTTAATTATGTCTCCAGTAATATATCTAAGGCAGCGATTAAAATTCAACCTTAATTTCAATAGTAATACTAGTTTAGTCATCATTATTTAGTGGCCAACAGTTGGTTGATGTGTTTGTTTAATTATGTTGTATCAAATGAACTCCCACTCCCTTAACTGTTGAAAAAATAATAAACAAGTACTTATAAGTATACTGAAAATGTGTAAACAAATAAATGCATCCAGTTTTTATTACATAGATTCAATTATGATCTTTTTGAATAGTCTTTCCACCTTACATTTGTTCCTCCTTTTGCTTTGACTATACAGCTACAATTCCAAGATTTGTCAAAGGTTTTCAAATGTCTATACTTCGAACTATGATGTCAAAATGGACAGATGCTTCTAAACAAGGTGATGATTATATGTCGATTATATATATTTTATTTATTAAACTGGATTACTCTACTGTTTTATTGTTCAACTCAGAGAGCAAAACTTTACCAAAAGAGTTGTATTAAAAATGAGAACATAACGTTACAAAACAGAAAATTATATACCGTAGGTCTGTTTTTAATGTTCACATAAGTCTAATTGTGTTGTACATGAATACTCAAACCTATGTATAAAGATAGTTTCACAAGATGGTGCAGTAATGTTACAGTATAGGATGAGTTCTAATTAATTTGGTCGCTTCTTTTTTCAATAAACTTCAGTGTTTAAATTGGACCGAGTGTAATATTTTATGAGAGAATTTCACTTTACGTCACTGGGGTTTTAGCATGTACTACTCATTTTCTGGTTTGTATTTTAGTGTAAAGGCCTATCATCTGGTATGTATGAATATCGCAATAATTTCTGTTCATTCTCTATTGTCATATCACAGTTATTTAAAGGGACATCACTAGTCTATTCTCATACTTCACTTATGTGAGATAATAAAATTGGTCGAATTATTTATTAGCAGTAAGAATGTATTTTCACTACCAGTCATATATACTCATGACGATCACATTTAAATCTCTTAAATTAATAATTCAATTTATAATGTTTTGGATTATCTCGTTCATAGTTCTGACTGAAATTTCATTGACTTTGTTAAGCATGTTGTGCGTCCTGCATGGATTGCCTCGATCCAACCATTATGACACTAGTTAATTGTGGTACCCTCTTCTATAACGAATTGAGTCTGAGTTTATTACAATTGGATTTATAATTTAAAGTGCAATCAGTTCCGAGAATGCGATTTTTAAATTGTCTCCTAACGGATTCCTACCTCGTTGTATCCTTCATGCGAATACTTTGGTGTACTTACACTAAAGTTGTGATGGGTATTTAGCTCATCGGTTGCGTAAAATATATTCTGTTGATTTCGAACCTGGTGTTTTAAAAATTATCCTATTATTTTAGGTTCAGCTGGGATGACTAAACGTCGGACCGACCAGTTCTTGTCTTTGTGTTCATAAAACCTCCCTTGTGATTGAAAGGGTCTATTTTTGTTTGGTTGAGCCTTATTTCTAGAGATTATTAGCTTAGTAACTTCACTAGCAATATAATCGATAACATATGCTGCTTGAATAATAGCTTCAAGGTTATCAGGAGCTATGTCCTCAGACTATTGTAACTTAATGGTTGACAGCTTTTGTTTATGATTATCATGTTTTGGTGTGGAACACACAGGCGACTTTAGAATGCATATCTCTTATTTGCTTACGTTTACCTTCTATTTCACTCTCTATATTATCTGTCCTGTCACCTGTGAGTGTGCGAGTCGTAAGTCCATCAGATTCTGAGTCATTGTGTGGCGTTAGTTCGGTCATGTCATTATCGGTTGATCGACAAGGAGTAATGTTATAGCAGAGTTTCGACTATCCAAGGTATTAGCTCTTGTCCGGGGTTGTTTTTTCAACATGGGACCCATTCAGTTATTTATTAATCGTAATGCTATTTATACATTATACCTAAGGAATAAATAGTAACTATTTACTTTTTCCTGTTTCCTGAGTGTGATCAAAGGTACCGCGATCTAGCATTGGTATAGAATAGATGGAATTTTGCTAGCAGGGGAACTTGGGACACGTGTTTTATCCTATTTTGGATTTGCCAGCTTCTATTGGTGGTTGAAGTCATAAGGGGATGATAGTATAAACTATGCATTTTGAAATTGCCAACCGAATTCCTGCTAACATATCGCAATAGACCTGCCAACTGTTGAACTGACTTTCAAATAGATCGACGGTTCGTAAACTATTCATTCACAAATAATTACCGATTCAAGATATACGAAACGTAATAATTAAATCCATAACATTTGCTTCTTGTTCTGTTTCGATGATTTCATCATTCAATTTTTAAAATAATAAACGGCAATTTGCTTGGTATTGTCTTTAGGTATAGTGATGTCTGTTATTGCAGTAGTTGAACGTCTTGGAACGTTGATCAGTCTCGTAGCTTTACCAGTTATATACGCTTCGACTGTTAGTACTTTCAAAGGATCGGTATATTTTGTTTGCGCCTCTGTAACAATTTTGGAAGCACTAATAGTTTTGTAAGTTACATACAGGAAGACACTTTCAATATTTTAAAATTCTACTGTCTTATCACTCTTTACACTTAATTGCTAGACTGACATTCTCTATTTTACATGGTGATGCCGTTTGTTAGTTTACTTATACTAAATATTATTATAATCAAGCTATCATATACTTCGATTCATTTAATTATTGTAAGACATCTCAAATGAATAATTCAAAAACAACCTGTTACACAGTATAACATAGTAGACCGTTAACTTATCATCAGTGAACAATAGTCTACTTATGAGATAATATGCTTTTGTTAAGTATTCTGTCCTTTTTTGGGATGAAATAATTAATTTGTTTTATTTCATTGTTAATATATGAGGTATATTCATGCTTACTTTTCTTACGTACGCCTGTTACCCTCAACGGTGCATAGTCTGCCGACCAGACTTATCCAACCTACTCTGTACTAAGCCCCTCTTTCCAGTTCTGTCCAATTTTTGTTCATTCTTCTCATGTCTGTCTCCATTTCTCGGCGTATTGTGTTCCGTGGCCTTCCTCTTTTCCTTTTACCTTGAGGGTTCCGAGTGATTGCTTGTCTTATGCGGCAGTTTGGTGCTTTCTGCAGGGTGTGTCCTTTACACCTCCACCGCTTCTTCCTGGTTTCCTCCTCTGTTGGAATTTGGTTTTTTCTTTCCCGTAGTAGCTTGTTGCTGACGGTGTCTGACCAACGGATTCGAAGTATTTTGCGTAGGCAACTCTTCATAAATACTTGTATCTTATGGATGTTGGACTTCGTATTTTCCAAGTTTCCACCCCATACAGTAAACTGCCTTGACATTTGTTTTGAGAATATTGACTTTGTTGTTGTGGTTGATTGTTGTTTTGAGGACCAGATGTTTTTCAGTTTTAGAAATGCCGTCTTTGCTTTTTCGATCGGCGCCTTCACATCTGCATCAGATTCACCTTGATTGTCGATGATGCTGCCCAGATCTGTCAAGGTTTTAACGTCCTCCAAAGCACCTACATCAGCGGTGATTCAGTTGGCGCATGTTGTGTTGTGTTGGAGATTTTTGCTTTTCCCTCTGTGTATGCTGAGACCTGCTGCTACGCTGCTCGTCTTCTTTTGTATTCGTTATCGCGTGTTCGATAGAAAAGTCAGATCGTCCAGCTGCATCGTGTCTGTCCTCTGTATACCGTCCTTCCCTCCAGATGTTGACGTCTTCATAATCCAGTCGATCACCAGGAGAAATAGAATGGATTGATAGTAAGCAACCTTGCCTGACACCGGGCTTCACCTCGAACGATATTATCAACTGTCTTCCGTGCACGATTTCGCAGTTAACCCAACATAAGAATTCCGTATGATGTTGTGTATTGTTTCAGGGACGCCATAGTATCGAAGAAGCCTCCCTAGTGTTGAACTTTCCACACTATCAAATGTTTTCTAATAATCAATGAAGTTGATGTAGAGTGGTGAGTTCCATTCAGTTGATTGTCCCACAATGATCCGTAATGTTGCAATTTGGTCAGTACACGGTCGATCCTTTCGAAATCCGGCCTGTTGATCTCGAAGTTGGGCGTTTACGAAGTCCTTCATTCTGTTTAACAATATCCTGTTGAAGACTTTGCCTAGTATTGCGAGAAGAATGATGGCTCTGTAGTTCTCGCACTTTCTGAGATCGCGTTACTTTGGTATTTTGATGAGGTATCCTTTCTCTTCTGTTGGTACTTGTTCTTGATCCCAAATTTCTTGTCTGCTGAAATGTTGTCTGGTCCCTCTGCTTTGAGTCTCTTCATTTGTCTGATGGCCATACAGATCTCTTCAATTGTCGGTGGGCCAACATCGATTGGGAGGTCGGTGGATGCTGCGTTTATGTTGGATGGGTTTAGTGGAGTGGGTGGATTCAACAGTTCCTTAAAGTGCTCTACACACCTGTTTCTCTGTTTTACAATGTTACTGATTACTTTGCCTTCCTTGCTTTTCACTCTTCGTTCTGGTTTACGATAGTTTCCAGTGAGCTCCTTCGTTGTATCATATAGCTGTCTCACGTTTCCTTCTCTTTCAGCCTTTTCCGCAAACGTTGCTAGATCTTCCGCATACTGGCGTTATTCAGCTTTTTTTTTCTTCTGTGTATTCAGTTTGTGCCTTGGCTTTATCTGCTGTTGTTCGGCTGATGTTGATTGCTGCCTTTTTCGTCATTTGCATTTGTTCAAGAGTACCAACAGAGATCCATTCCATGTGATGGTACTTCCTATAATTCAGAACCTCCCGACATTTTGAATTGATTGCCTCCTTGATCCGTTTCCAATTAATCTCCCTAGTGGTTTCCTTACCATTGAGCAGATCGTGAAAATCCTGTAACCCATTGTTGAGGGCTATGTTGAATTCGTTGAGTTTGTCAGTATCCCGAAGAAAGACCGTATTAAACTTTTGTGATGTTGTTCGCCCCGTTATCCAGTGTTTCTTGAATTTTAGTTTCATTTTGGCAATCAGCAAATGGTGATCTAAGGCTGTATCGGCTCCTGTCTTGGTTTTCACGTCCTCCGTGGTCCTTCTGAACTTTTGAATGATGCATATAAGTTCGATTTGATTCTGTGTTGTGATCCGGTGAAATCCATGTAGCTTTGTGTCGGAATGATGTGCCGCCGATGACCAGTTTGTTGAAAGCATATAGGTTCGCGAATCTCCCACCATTTCGGTTCCTTTCTCCCGGTCCATGTCGTCCCATGATGTCTTCATTTTCAGTGTTGTTCATGCTAACCTTAGCATTTAGGTCTCCCATTATAATGATCAAATCCTTTGGTGAGCAACTGTCGACGATTGAGTGTAACATTTCGTAGAATCGATCTTTAACGTCTTCATAGCACTGGATGCTGTTCATTGTAATGCCCTCTTTCTTTGTTTTGAAGGATGCTTTAATGTTCCTGGGTCCATGAGATTCCCATTCTAGAAATACATTTTGTCCTTGTCTGGACAGCATCAGTGCAACTCCTTGTGTATGTGCGGCATTTTCTTCTTCATAATCGTAGTATAACAACATCTCTTCTGAAGCTAGTCTTAGTTGTCCAACTTGCGTCCAATGTGTTTCACTGATTTCAAGCATCTCGATGTTGTATCTTTTCATTTCTTCAGCAACTTGTAATAGTCCTTGTTAGTTTCGTCACCAAGTATGCTTAAAACTATTACGGATACACCTTAGTCGATAAACTAGAACGAGGCAACGAACCAGCCTCCAGGTAGGCTACCCTGAAAAATAGCACACTAAAATACACAGCAGCCAGTCACAGCCAAGTATTTTCCTGGTGAGTAATGAAATCTCAAGGTCAGCTGATCAGCCCGTGCTCGCAAGCATGAAATCCACAATTGAGGCATTTATAGAGCGACATCTGGGCATCTAACATCCCCAACAGTTTCCCTCGGACAATCAGCATCTGCAGCGATACTTCCTTCTCACAAGGAAGGAAGGGTTAGAAAAGGTCGACCCTACAAATGTCTTCAACAGTCTTTCAGTCTCCTACAAAGTTCTAACGTTCCATGTACCTAAAAGAATGGTTGCTCTGGTAGTCAGAAGGGGCATCGGACTGGTGACTTCCAGCGAAACTCAGCTTTCATCATGAAACGTCATAAGTCTTCTCAAAGAAGACCTCACTCGGAGAGCACATTTAAAATGGTTTGAATTATGTTTTCTGGGTACCGTTTTTCAGCGATTTAGTTTTCTACAGGATGGGGTAGCCAACCCAATGACCAACCCTCCTTTATCCGGGGTTTGAATCGGTAGTAGCCCCAGAGGGGTATATTAATAAGTAAATATATTAAGTATAATTATAAGTAAAAACTAATTTTATGCCTTCGAAAATTAGTAATACTCCTAAATTAATATCAGACCTGAAGTTGTATTTGAGAAACAGGATTACCTTGTTTTTTTAGTCGAGCGAGGAAGCGCTTCTTTAAACTAGTTTTGCGTCATGACTCCCCAGATCTGAACGCTGTACGTGCTCACCTGGAAAACTGACTAACTGAACGAGAAGGCAAGAGTGAAAGTGAAGGTCTATTTTTCTACCGGATCTTATGCATTGATACTCATTTATATCTATACATTCATTCCTCTTATAAAAATTAGTCCATTTAGTGACCAATAATAACTGTTTATCCTTTAGTGTATTTCTAGTTGCTTTGATAGAAAGGTAGTAATAATACTATCTTAACACTAATGAGAACTGACTGCAGTGGTCTAAAAATTTGTTGATATCTGTGTACATATACTATTGACTAATTGTTCATCACATTTGTTATATAAATACTTGTTCAAAATTATTCTCTCTTGCTGTTTGTATTTTCTGATTTTAGGATTTTACCAGTCTACGCTCCAAACACATCGTCATTGCAATCTTAATCAGATAAGTATCGTCGATATCATGTTATTTTACTAAACTTAAAGAAAACAATTGTGAATCCAGATTTTTTCTAAAAATGACCAATTAATTTATTTTTTTATAATCATTTTTTAATATTTTCAGAACATTCATTACATTTCTTCAAAAAATCACCATGAATAGAAAAATGATATTCATCAACAGCTGACATTGCTTAGAGGACTCCAAACACCCTTTTTTGGTTTCTGTTTGGAACTCTTTAGTGATGAGTAGAATAAAAACCCAAAAATTTTCACATTCCATACCTAGCTAAACGTCATTCAGCCATTACTCAACATTTTCTAACTTTAATTATGATTTCACCATACGACTTGATCGTTACTAATATCAACTACTGATTACATATATCACTACTTCTTTTTTTAACTTCAGAATTAAACATCTAAGCGTTTGTGGGAAGTTGTTTGGTTTTAAATTTTTTTTCTGAAAAAAAATGACTATGGGACCGTACGTGCGTCCTTGTGTTTATTTCTAGATTTAAGTTATTTAATGTAATATAAGATGATTGGTACAATTATCAGAAGGGATCGCAATTCATCAGTCGTTATTGATATATGTTCATCGTGGATAAATTGCCTCGCTGTTGTTGTTAAGTTTCATATTTTCATCAGTCCGGTAAGCACTAGAAGTGTAATTTAGAACACTCATTTGATTGTACTTAGGATTCGTCAGTTGGAATGTTCTTGCGGCCTCATGTCGATATTTAAACTTGAACGCGGCACCATTCGTTTTTGTCTTTAAGTATTGGATTTTAAGGAGATAGGTTCGAGTTCTAATCCTAAAATCAACGCTAGGATATATAGTCATAATCGTTTTTGCGATAAGTACAAGTTTCTACTCGAGAAAAATCTATTTTAATACAGTTAAACAGGATAATGATTTTAGCTTTCTTGCTGCAGACTGAAGCATACATAGTATTGATTACACTAAACTATATTTAACACTGTTATGCCTCTAATTGATCATATTCTCTATATCTTCGCCTACATTGGATTGTGATTAAAAATGCAAATTTTCATTACCAATTTGTTTTTCTGTTGAATAATTTTGTAAAGCATTTCAATTTGTCAAAATTTATGTATTTTGTAATAATTTGATTTCACTGTAACTCAACAATCTCCACAACCCTATATTTCAAATTATCATGTGCTCACTAATGACTGGCTTTGTGATGAGGTTATCGGAATTCTAGTGAGAAGTCGTGACCAGTGGGGTTCAATCTTTTTCGGGTGTGAAGCAGCGCTCATCGAAGATAGTGGATGAGGCTGCGCAAGACCATGGATTGATCTAAGTTAAACATTAACACCGTTATATACGTACTCACTGTTCCAACGGTTAAGCGTTCTCGCGCAAGATCGAAGGTTCTGGGTTCGAATCTTGCGATTAACAGGAGTCGTTGATGCGCACTGCTGATGAGTCCCATACCAGGGCGAAACATCCGTCTAGTGCTTCCAGGTTTCTAATGGTGGTCTAACATTAATCGATTCATCATTTCAAAAAGTAACTAAACAATTTGCTCGACCCTGTAATGCAAATAATAATTTGTCGAAATTTCATATCATTCAATGAATGATGGTTAACAACTTACTGCGAAGTCAATCATTATAACCTAAATGACAACTTCTCTTGACTATCTATCGTTATCCTTTGAATTAACACGGAAAAAGTTTGGACACCAATCAATCAGTTTTCAGATACTCATATGAGACATACTGAATAATAATATTGTACATGTGTCACAAATAGCAATGTGTGTAGTGATTTCTTCAGGAAATTTAGGTTATTATTTTTCTGTAAACTATTGTTTAATGTCATATGTGATCTGATATACTTTTGAAACATAACTAAAGGACTGCACACAGAATCACTTAAATTATTTATCAACAAGAAAAGCGTTGTCAATCGAAATGGTTGGGTCTAACGATCGAGTATGCTATGAAATAAATCCTCCTTTCATTTTCCGTATATCATGCTTGGGCGAACCCCGTTTCTGCGACGGAGGTATTAAACAGACAAATACGGTTTTGAGAATGAATTTGTCTCATTACATCGTTTAACCAAGCAAACGTTATGAGGAGCGTGATAGAGAAGGTGAGTGAGTCAACTCAGTGCGATGAAACATTACTAAATGTTTACAGTTAGATAGAATATCCTAGACATGTGATATGCGAAGTGAATATGAACAAACATTTGAATAAAAACAACTAAGGTTATGTGACTAATTGACAAGGTCGAAAGGTGTGTGAGTAGTTTCTCGAACTTAGTGGCTCCATTAATTTGTCCGAGGGCGGAGGCAAGCCCTGTAGGCTCAACATATCGTGTGAAGACATTACACATGATAGTATATCGTGCCTGTGGTATCAGATTCATTAATATCATTGAGTCCAAGGCAACTTTTATCACTCTCTTCACATAACATGGCTTGTTTACTTTTTAAAACACTTCAAAATTATATAATTCGCAAGATACTTTTTAATTCTTGAACTGTGACTAAACTGCAAAATTATGTCAAGTGGACCATACTGTGGTGTGTGCTACTTATACGAACGATATAAGTAGCATAAGAAGGGACGTGAAAGAAGAAGTCTCACGGTCACGAGAGGAAAACGGAAAGCAAATGGAGCAAAAGCAAGAAGTAAGTGGAGTACCAACAGGAAGTCAAGGAAGCAACAGCAGGAATGGAAGAAGGCTGGAGCGTTGGAAGTCAGGGCTCAAAGATGGTGTGCGAATAGAGTGTTCAATGTAATGTTTTCGTTTTTAATTGACTAAGAGTGTATATTTGCTAAATACAATCTACCGCGCCTGCCTCAGTCTTCTCAATACTACTTATTAGTAAACAGCACAATTCAAAAGTGAACGTTTATGAATACATGGGTTTTGAAAATGAAGGTCCGAAGAAACATCCAGTCAGCAGTTAATTCATGCCAACTAGAAAAAAACTAACTGACAGTAGTAAAATTTAGATTCAATAGCTACTGCGTACACTATCTAACCTACAGTTTCACCCATGAACTAAACCAGTTTGTTGGACACATCAAATTATGACCATTCCTCAGACGTTCCTGAGATCCAGATTTCTTGGTGTCGGGTGATGGAATGCAATTTGCTTCCTCACCTTAAAGCTTTGTGATGGATTCGGACGAAAAGTTAACCATTCACTCCTATTCCATCTACAATCAAATGGTGAGGCTGAAAAGTTTTTGAACTTTCCGAAGAGCAAATCTACATGCAATAGGGAAAAGAAAGATGAAAGGGATTTTTGATGATACTCTGTTGGTCTACAAATCACTGATTCCGCCAGCGCTGAGCTAGGTGTTTCGAGTGAAATCATATCTGACTAAAAATTTAGAACTGTCCTTGATGCTACAAAATCAAAGAAACAAAGCAGAAGATGGACACTCGATCCAACCGACTTCTTGGAAAAAAGACTGCTTTATCAAAATAACTGGGAAATATGCGTTCGTGAATTCGGATACTAATCTCAGTGGTTCAGACTAAGTCCATTACTCGGGTTTCCGAGGCTGAATTGTAGTAGACAAACAGATAGTGGTCGTAATATAAGGAAGAAAGGATGTTCTACTGAAAGTTTGATTCGTGAATTTCGAAATTAGCCATACTCGGAGTTTTGGCTGATATATCTGGTCATAGAAATACTTATCACTAAGAGGAGAATCACCCTAACGGAACACATCACGATTCACCTATAATCCTATCTCAACCACTGTCACAGTGTTTCTGATTTATGAAATAGTAAATAACATACCTCAACTTCATGACCAGTCATTTTTATCGTGTAAGGTTTTACATGGTAGGAATGGAAAATATATTTATCTTGAATATTATATCGGAACTAGGTTAGGTTGAGGCATGTAGGGGACGTTAGATTCCCATAACTCACTTGCAGAGGTCCTACAGCTTACATTTCCCACTCCGAAATCCTTAACTGTCGTTGGTTGACGGATTTTTTTAGTACAATATTTTGTGGCTCTCCCAAAAGCGTTTCTATCATTGTATAAATAAGCTTGATTTGTGTGCTTAGCAACCTCGTTTTTCTGGATGCTTGTAGTACATTTTCTCTGTCTTATCAAGACCTGCTTTTATTAGCAGAGCCTGGGACAACGGATTAGAATAGTCTGTCGTATCACTGTATAGTTGACCTTCGTTCCGCTTACCGAGTAAGATGAACTCATAATAGTTTCGAGCATATCTATTGGCGTGCATACCAAGGCAAGTGGTCGACTATCAGTTTTAACTTGACGTTGTCGATCGTTTACTAAACTCGAATAACTATGTTACTACTGGAAATAATATGTTTGACTGAAATATACAATTCTCAATGTATAGAGTGAGCTGTGAACTGAATACAGTTTTAAGTAAAGCAGTGAATTCATAAAGTACATTACAGGTACTAAGTAGTAAAACTAAGCGAAATCGGTTTGAATTGAATTTTAAAAAAATACCAACGGCTAGATAGCAACATCTGATTCTATTGATGAAGATAATTAGTTCAGTTTGTATGAAAGTTGACTAATTGCTATTCTCTTACTAAAAACATAATTTTGTAAAGCGTCATACTTTGATTTACACTAGTAAATATCATGGTACTTAAAGCAATCCGCACAAGTATATCACTGGACAGCAACTCAAATGAAAACGTATCACCATCATATTGATGATTTTTTTGTTTTTAGAAAAACGATCATCAATTTTTAAATGAGCATTACAGAAAAATAATTTAATGGATTCAAAGTTTTACTACCTCTTATAGGTTAAAATATTTCTCAAATTTCATTTGTGTTACGATTAGATTCAATGTATAACAATTGAGCTAATTTAAAGAAACTTCAAAAAATATTGTCTTGATAAATGATAGTGATCATTTAAAAAATATATACTTACTATGAAAAACATTAGCACGTGTGTATAATTTCCTGAGTACAAAATAAGGATATTCACTATAGGTTTTTACTCACGTTAACTAGCTTTTAAAACAACTAACATTCATCATTTTTCATATTTTTACCCTTGTATTCTGTGTTTCGCCAGGAATGGGAGTGAGCTAAAATAGGTAAAAATATTGAAGCTCAGTATATTACTTAGAAGTTAGAATATTTAAATTTGACATTATTTCTAATTTATTAAACCAACTTTTAAATAAAACTAATTGGAGTAAATTGTCTCCACATTTCTCTCACAGATGCTTTATATTTTGATACTTTACTTACTTATGAGTAGTGAAATATAAAAGTACTCAAAATAACAGCAGTCATACCAGTTTCAGAATTTGACGCGTTTTTCGCAGGTATTGTAGTGTAGGAGAACACAGGTGAGGGCAACCGAATTGCATTTATTGCAAATTACAGAGTTAATTGGTAAAATACGAAAACCATATCGTAAATCGTTAATTTGCAAAATATTAATCCATCATATCGAACTGGACTGTTCCTGTTGCAAAACATCAATCCATTGTCTGATATTTCACTGTTCATGTGTTTCATACAAATCCCATTGTGTTCTCGCTCTTCCATTCTTGATCTTCCCCCATCTGCTGCCAGACATTAAGTTTTTACTCGCGTCAAATACTACTTATAAGTAGCGCGCACCACACTCGTCCCCCCCTTTAATAAGCTGTCGTCGTAGTTTTTTTGATCGCCGTACCGCTGTCTTCTTTGATGCTTTCCGTGACTCACACACTGGATAATCTTGAAATCACCTCTGCAGTTGGTTGGAATTTACACGCTTCTGCTTGTCTCAGTGTGAAATCGTCTACCTAAAAGCTACGGTCTCCATTTTTCTACTGCACACACGATTGATAGGCACTTCTTTTCGATCGTTGAATACTTCTGCTCAGCGGGTGTGAGAACGCGACTTGCGTATTCCACCACTCTATCAGCCTGACTCAATACCGCACCTATACCATGATCACTTGCATCTGTGGCCACTGTTAACAGTATCCCGGGTTCAGGCAGTCGCAGCGTCATCTGATGATCGTCTAGCATGTTTTTGAACGTTTGTTCGGCAGCCTCAGTCCATGTAAACTTGGTGTTGCTGAGCAACTTATATAAGGTGCTGTTATTTCGTTGAAATTCTTGACAAACCGACTATAGAACGCCGCTCTTCCCAGGAACTGTCTTAACTTCCTTTTCGAATTAGGTACTGCAATATTTTTTATGGTAAGAATTTTCTCCAGTAATCGCTTTATTTCTCCATTTCCCACTTTATGTCCCTACAATGTGACGCTGTTTTTCGCTATCTGCAACTTTTCCTTATTAATTCGAAGTCCGAATTCGTCAATTCGCTTTAAGACTGCTTCCACATGCTTGACGTGATCTGTTTCTGTCAGGCTGTATACAACTACATCGTCGCCATATACCTCAAATTTATCTAGATTCTTGAGCACTAGCGTCAATAATCTTCTGAACGTAAACGGTGCACCCGGATGAGTCCATTCTCAAACCATTTATATGTAACTATACTTCTGTAGGTCTACTACTGTTGGCGTCAATACTAGAATACAGGATGTATGTTTAAACTTATCTTGGACTTGTCGGCTAACTATAATTGGTTCTCAGGGTTTATGTTCACCCTAAAGACTCAATGCCAGAACCCATCGCTTTAAATGCCAGTGTGCTAGTGAGGATGAAAATAGCGTAGTTGTGAAAACTGTCAATTTGCTGATAATCTGTAAAAATATTTTATCATCAGTTAATTTATAACATATTTTGGTGTTTTTCATACCATTGGTCAGACCGCATATGTGAGTAGTGTAGATCCTTTCACATAGCTCTCCTGACACTTGGCCTTAATTTATTATGCAGACAATAGCATATGACATGTGTGGACTCGGTTAGCTTATCAGCATGATTCCATGAAGAACTATTTATGCATATTCTTTTGTATTTTTAGTTTTTCATTTTATTCATGAAATTTTTACCACGAAATACCAATTGCATTAGTTTTTCTTAAATCTTCTTTGTAAATATTTTCCTAATTTTTCCGGGGTTCTTTACTAAAACAGAACTATAAAATGTCAGTTCAGCAGCTGCCTACAATCAAACTATTGTGTTAACCGAATGGAGAATAATGGTAATTGAATAAATTTAAAATTTCCATCAAGTGTGAAACGAGTTTTCATCACTACCATGATTTCTTTGTACAATAACTAAATATCGAAATAATAAGAAACAAATTTTTGAAGAACAATATTTGACTTACCTTGCAGTACATATTGCAAGAAATAGCATTGAGGCACATACAAGAAAGACAGCACCGGGAAAGTATGAAAGAGTAGCTGAATAAACCAAGGGTAAAGCGCTTACACTGATTAATAGACCGATTCTTGATACGAAGGAGGCAAATGAAAGAATCAAACCTTCAAAGGAAAATAAATATTGTAGTTATTGATTGTGTAAAATTAAAGAAGGACACTTTTTCAGTTTGATTATTATGTTGACCAGATTTGACACAATAAATTTATTAAACTGAATATCTCATATGACCGTTGAAAGGCGTTGTGACGAAAGCAAACTAATTAGGGTTAAGTTTGTTTCGATTTCGTCAAAATCAAATAGCTTATGTTCTATTTTTCTTAATTATATTCAGTCATTTCAGTTTATCACATATCTAACTAGCATAATCTCCATGCCTCCATTTAATTATAAATCGATGTAATAGTTAAATTTCATCTGAACAGAGGTAGTTTGGTAAATTATAATTAAATAATGGGACAGGGAATTGGTTTATTGACAACTTCATTCACAGCGAATTCTTTAGGTTTCATTTTTTTTTTAAATAGAAAATAATAACACTTAATAATTAGTGAAAATATATTCTAAATTAAATAAGAACTTTTGGCTTTCATAAAAAATAGGCAAATAAAAATTTGATTGTTAACATTTAGTGTCATAAACAAAGGTAACATAAATGCGTGGTATGATCTTCAGAAAAAAATGCACAAATATATCCAAAGATCTAAAGCTCATGAAAATTTTTACACAAATATTCGGTCCATAGTTGTTTATTGTTCGCCACAAACTATGTCATGACATAGCGAACTTGGATTATACTATTCACAATTTCATCTCATCTACACCTATCATTGATGATGTTTGATAACACACTTTACATAAACTTCTTAACCATTTCAAAATGATGAATAGAGATTTAACTCACCCTTTCTCTGTGTCCCACTCCAATTAGTGATCAGTGTACGCAATAAAGGAAAATTAATATTTTTTGCTAGTTTCGGAATTAAGCCTGCAATTATAAAAAAAAAATTCATAAACGCTTTTCAGTATATGTTCGAAATTATTTAGTTGACACTAGATTTGCCTATACAGCTGCTATTTAAACTTTCATAAAAAATATTCAATACTTATAAATCATTTTGTTAAATATAATTTACACTTTATTACTTTTCAATTTTTCATGAGAATACAACTTGTGCTTAAAACGAAGACAAGACTTAATTCATGGTTATTCTAATGCAATGTCTTTTAGCCATTTCGAAATTTATTTAATCCTGCTAAAAGTAGTTTAGATTACAAAATTCAACTATAGTTGTAAATATCAAAATAACAATTCATAAATCAACATGAATAACTGTGATATCGTTGAGAAATGTATCAATTGAATAAAATCATAGTACTTACTTAGATAAACAATTATATTGGCTGTAAACGATGCAGACAAGTATGCTACTGTCATTAAAACTCTACTTAATAGCATTGAACTTAGCGCGAAAATTAGTAAACTGAACAGTGTATTCTGAAATCTTAAGTCAGTTCCATTTTCAACCAGGTTTCTGCTATTCGATTCACTTTTATCTCTATTATTCGAACGCGTTGATTGTGATGATTGCATTCTTGCCAGAATATTTACAATTATTATTGATAATATTGCTGAGCATGCCTCTGTTATACCGCTACATTGATAAACATACAGAAATGTAAGAACAATTTAAATTTAATAGTACAAAACTTTTATAAACGAAGTTACAAAATCATACTTATACGTATAAAATTGACATTGTATCTATTTTATTGTATATAGATTTCAATTGTATTTCGTTCATCTAAGTGTAGGTTTATTATGCATTGGTTCAGTATTTATTTTCATCAATAAGCTTCACACACATTATACTTTTGTTAGTGTCATCACCCAACACTTTATGAATCATAGATTACGAGATGTATCACCTGTGAGAAAAAGTAACATCATCAAAATCGCTTTTCAGTAATCACAACTAATCTTCATGGCAAGAAGGAATTAACATAAACATTAAAAACTATTATTGTAAAGATGTCATTACACTTCCAGACACCATTTACACCGATCATAAAACTTAACATTTAACCATACATATTAGTTGGCAACTTTCATAGTTTTATGAGTTGATGATAAGAAACAAACTTTACCGCGAACGATTAATTTTTTCTCGATTATTCAGCTTTTCAAACAAATCAATATTTAAATCGATCCTATAGTATTGAATTAAGACTTCCCTGATACGGTTTTTTTTAATTAAGCATTTATAAATTATAATCCTGGATTTTTATCGCATCAGTTATTCATGATGTGGTTGGAGGTGATTAGCAAACAGTAGACGTTTATCAATTTTCACTTTTCATCATTGCAGCACATTAATCACGTAATATTCGATGAATAAAACAATGTGACTATCGTAAATTCGATATTTGAATTTTAAGCTCATTAATAATTAGTCTGGCATTTAACATGATTTATCATGATTTATCTGCCAAACTTCTAGATTATTTGATTATTTCGCCTTCTATTTTTTTTTGTACAAGCTGAAATTTACTTTGTTGAATAATGAATGATCATGTATTTCTATATTTTGCGTTGGTTATTTTTGAATGGTAGCAAACGCAAGCACAAGAAATCGATAGATTAAGTTGATATAAATACACCGATCGGCTACTATCTTACATACATCCTTCTCATAGCATTTAACTTAATCACTACTTTCTCTCTCTGTGTGTATGTTGCTTTTATTCCGTTACTAAGTTCTGTATTCTTTTATCTGAAAATTTATTGATGAAAGACTGAGTGACATATGACGTAACATACGTGATTTAAATTGTGACACAGGTTTAAGAGTTTTATGAATCAAAAATTAATCTCTTATGAAATAAAAACTTGAAATGTCCGATCAGCTACAAAGTTTCAAACTTTTGTTTTTTCTTAAAATTGACAAGTGAAGAGTCATTACTTAGTAATTCGTGAACCTGGTTTTCAACTAAAAACTTGCAGTTTATCACAAATCTACCAGTTTAGACTTCACATGTGATTTGTGGATTAAAACCGAAGGCATAAACCTATACTTGATAAATAAGTTATCTCATAAATCATTCTATTAATTTGAACATATATGCAACGAGATTTAGTGGTATTTAATGTTCGATAAGGTTAAGTTTATACGTCAACATGTCGACCATATTTCAATATCGTCTCTTTTGAACACGAGAGATCTTGTACAGTTTGAAAGCCTAAAAAGAGATCAAGTAGGAAATTGTATACTGTTGAAAAACAAATATCAATTATATTTCAAAGTATACGAATAAATGAATACAACTATGAGGAGGTAATACAGTTATATACATATTGATTGTACCGTCTGTAAACACACTAAAGGTCACTTTATAAATTCCTTGTCTCTTTGCTAGTGATCAATACATTCATACAACAAAAAGGCAACGCCATACTGAAAAAACACTTGATATCAACACTGAAATTTAACATAATAACCTTCTTTTTTGACTAACAACGTGTTTTCACTAAAAAAATATCTTATAATCGTTCGATTTTCACAAACAGAAGAAAATAAGTAAAGTGATTTCAAGCAACAAATAGCTCTCATTTTTTTGTCAGGCAACGAGAAGAACAGTGAAAAATATTATATTTACTATTTCAACAATAATACATGTAACAAGTTTTTTCACATCGAATACCCTCACTAACGAAGTATATCTAAAGCGAACAGTTTATTGATCAAGAGAATAAAAACAAAAGATATTGTTAATGTCGATTGATGTAACTCGCAACTTAGAAAGGGAACGATTTAATGATGAACAATATAGGCTTAATATGATTTATGAATAGATTTTGGTGAATTAAACACCTTATATATTCATAAGCTAATAATCTATATTGAGAGTGTTCCTTTATTGTGAATAGTAAACGTATTCTGTAGACAAATGAAATATTTCAAATTAGGACCTTTCTAAAATATTGCACTTTCGATTACTTATCAAAATGAAAATTTGTTAAGCTGAAATAATGTATTGGATTATAGTTGACGATGTCAATTAGTTAAAAATAATTATTTTGTTTAATATATGAACTGTGAGTCCACATAACTTCGAATAAATTTTGTTTAGGTAGTAAATTTTTGACAATTTATCAATCGCATTGAGATGTGTGAAAGTCAAATTGATCTATTATTCAGAGATTCGTTGGACATTGTTAAAGTGAGGCGAAAAAGTTATAACTTCAATTAATATCATCTAACTACTCTGTTTTAGAGTCACTGAGTTTTGGATCCAATAAACTAATTGTTTAGAAGTCTATTTGACTATTAATCACAGAAGAAGTTAATTCATTGAAGCAAAGTTGATTGTTATTTAATGGAATATTTTCATTCCATTTTAAATAAATCTCTTTTTAAAATCACACCATCTCCATGATTTTAGATGGAACATATTAAAAAAACATCACTTCAAACTAGTTTAAATAATACATTTCAACAAATATAATGTTACTTGGTTAATCCGAGCTTCTTTGAATTCCACCAGAATGGTTCACTCATTAAGTATACTGTAACAAATGGGGAATCTACCATTGCCGAAATTGATACAATGAATAGAATTCCTAAGATTAATAATAAGACTGGATTGGATGATGTCACAGTCTGAAAATGAAAAATAGTAAACAGGATTTTGATTTAAAATGTATGAAACGTTGAGTGTTGGGAAACTGACAATCCGCCACAGATATTTATCATATTACAGTGAAAAGACTATGGATCAATATTTATGATTATTGATGTATTTTATATAAAACACAGACTTTTAAAACGTGATAGGAACCTTTGTAACATATGCAAAATACACACCAAATGTCGCTAAACAGTTGGTACAGTCATCGTAGTTCCATTATTTATTGCTTATAGTAATAGAAGTTCTTAGTTTTTCAACTAAAAAAATAGTTGAAGCTATATGGTTAAAATAGTCAGCTTTCAGCTGTTTGGTCAGTGATCTCAACATCATTTCTTTAATTTAATTTAATACTATAATAAACTCCGGAAAAACTATTGTAACTTATGAAGAGATTCATGGAAATTTTACCCAGTTGATGAATGATACTCTGTTAAGGTCGATGACGTAGTATCAGTGGCTGATTTAAAGACCATTTTGAATTTTGTTTGGAAACCAGGAAAAATTATACACAAATCTAATTCGCTCATGATCACATAATTTATTTTTAATAAATCAATGAGTCTTCCCTTTTCATTCTTCAGTTGGAAGATAATAGGCAGTCAACATTTACTATTTTCAAAGTTACAATAGACATTTCACTCGAATCTCACTCCATATTGACTACACGCTTCAAGACAGCAGATGCGACGTGTTTGTTTGTACAAGAAGTAATTTCAAATCAAGCAAAATCTTTCTTTACTCCTGTGTCATCATTTACACGATGATCCAAACAATACTGAAGCTGTACTCCCCAAGCCATTTTCGCATTTGAAAAACAGCCTTAAACATCAACAGTTTACCAGTGATCATTCTTTCGAACACTTTTGATTGTTCTGTTCAATAAACAGAAGTTTTAAAACTCTTTATTTCAGCTAATAATAAAATGTTTTCCTCTTATAATAAACTCGTTTTTTTTTAAATCAAAAGAGAAGTGTTGATTAATCCATCTTTTGAAAGTAAGCACATTAAACATACGAAATCCAATGACATTTTTACTTACCATGAATATTTGTTTCATTTTCTGACAAATAATTCCCCAACAAGATAACTTTACATCTCTAACATCTTCAAGTTTCGTTAGTTTATCATTAATAGGCACATTGACCTGAGTGTCACAATTCAATTGTTTTCTATTATTGGTTTCAGGTAAAAAGAATATCAAAATTGTAACTGGGAAATAAATTACAATACAAACACCCATTGTTATATTGAAGCCGTATGTATGAATTAGTGAACCTTTTAAATAAAAAGAATTGAAATAAATTCTATTACACATTAATCATTCATGTAATTTAAATGATTTGAAAGTAATCTTTTATGGGTGATTTGCGTAGGTCATGTCTTCTAAATCAACTCTGTACTATTATTTGCCTTGGCTACGCGGCATATTTTAGAGATTTTGGTTGAATTAAAAATTTATTAACGAGAACCCTAGTTGCAGGGCGTAAATGTACACGATTGCATTTGGAACTATTTAGTCATTTTACGCAATAATTGTTTTACTTTAACGAATTAAAGTTACCGTTCAAGGGAAGTGATCGAATGTTTTGATGAAGTAAATTTTTCTAATCCTATATACGACGAAATATATGGCAAAACTCTGTCATACCTAATTGTAATTGTAATTCCAACAACTCACTGGCTTAGCAAATTTTGTGCACATCTTTATTGACAGCTTAAATCCTGAAACACGTATTGTTAGACCTTTTTCCACTAAATCCTAATGATTCTTCTAACCTATTCTGAAAATAGGATATAAAGTTTTTCAAGATAAACCGGATAAAAGTTTTTCATCTCTACACTTTCATCAACTTTTTCTTATATCATTCTTGCAACTACTAATGTAACCAAAAGGTGATTCAGTCTTCTAAAACTTGATTTTATTTTTTCACTTACGAAGAAACAGCTGTGAATTTATTCAGCTGAAGTATGAGGAAAGATTTCGATGTGACAATACTGCTAAAGAAAGACAATTTATACTTGATTTGGTGACATCAAACAACTGACTATTGGCCAACAAAAAAGATACTAGCACATAGTTGTTTTAAATTAGTTAAATTTATTTAAAACCTCGACAATTCATGTCATCAGAATAAAATTTTAATTGAATATTACACAGAGTTAGATTTATATGTAGAAATAAAGTTGTAGTGTTTTATGTAAATGAGACTAATTTCATACTAACCTGCAATCATACTAGCAACTGCTAGACTTAAACAAGCTAAACCATCAATAAGTGTTAGAAATAACCAACGTCGACGTTCATACACACATTTTGGTATGGATGTAGTAGACTTTTGAAGTTGATCATTATTTGTTATATCCGTTATACAAACGGAAAATTGAGCAATAGCTGACAGTAAACCACCACCAATGACACCTTCTAGTACATTTGAAGCAACCAATGCCCATGGTGTTAGACGAAAGAACACCACAACAGCTATATAAATACAACAAAAACAACTATACTTAGAAGATATACAGTGCAAAAAATGTAGAGATACATTCGAAAAGGTAAAGAGAGAAAATGACAATCTATGGTAATTGCACTTGAACAAGTAGGTAAAAAGTGAACTGACTGAACAATATAAGTAGATTGGATTTAATCAATACTAATATCTTAAAATTTATCAAATATAAAGTTATCACTCAAATTATTTATTTAGTGCTTTATATAGATTTGTTATGAATGCAAACGAGTAACATGAAACGCCTACTAGCAATTTAAACAATAGAGTATTTATCCTATTTTTCAAAAGATTGTGATTTCAATTTGACAGCATTTCGTGATGTTTCTACAGTTGGTGTTTTGTCGAAATAGATCAAGAACGATAACAAATACTTACCAACAGCTATCACTTGTGCAGCTTCTCCGGCTACAAGGATTCCCAAAGCAACTTTTCGTCCAAAACGATCCGACAGATGACCAACTACTAGAGTCGATAATAAACCAGGAGCTACTGCTGCAAAATTGTTCGATGATTGTACCAAGGATGTTTGTTTTTGAGCATTTTGCTGTTTGAGTATTATTTCTGTTGAACTGAGTTTAATTTTTTAAATAAATAAAAGTCCATAAATAAATTGCTAAATAGAGTGGAATGATTCTGAAATATTGTAAGTCACTCATATACTGAAAAAAATGAATAACATTTTAAACAATGATTTCTTTATGCTTAAGTGAAAAGTTTCTTTTTCTCAATGTTTATTAGGAAATATCTATGAGTTAATTGATTCAGTAAGATAGAAAAGGAAGGACTGATCAAATGTATTTGTTGCAGAATTTTATCAAAATTACTGACAACCGTTAAATTTTTTGTTAGTTTACCAAAAAATAATGTTCAATCTGTCACCATCGCTATTTGAGAATGTTCAGTTTGTTAACATTTTATTGATAACTGTCATTTTCATTTCTGCACCGTTTATAATAAATTGTAATTTCAGAGAGATTATTCAAATGAACAGATAATTTTTATTCTACTAACATAGTGTAACCTGCAAATATTACAATTATTTAATTTTAGTCTACCGTATTCTTAATTTCATGTTCAGACTAATTTGTTTGCAATACATTAGCAATACATTGATCAACTTTGTTTTTTTTAAAAAAAAAACCATGTGATCGATCATCAAACTAATAGTTAAATCAGTTATCTACCTTTTGTCACAATTATTTGTGGCGTTGTCTTCAAAATTTCTCTTTATGTAGACTTATACGTACTGCATAGCTTACATTATTTCATATTTTCATAACTGTTGCTATAAATCCATATGACGTTCTTTAGTGAAGTGTACATTTATCATTAATACTGTTATTATCAATATTATCGTTATTATTATTACTAATAAGATAATCATAATGTTTTGCCGATGTTCCATTAAGCAGAAATTTGTATTTCTAATGTTTTGTGACTTGATGCAAGTTATTTTTTTCAAAGCAAATAAATCAATAAGTTAAATAAATTTAAATTGCCTAAGTGTCATTTGTCACGAGTCGAAATACACACAAAGATGTAGAAACTCTGTAAAACAGGGACATTACAAATTGAATTGACAGTAACAGTATATGCTATTTAAAATAACCACTGAATCGATATCTTTAACATCGAAAAAACTCGAGAAAGTCTTTTCAACTAAAAGAAAAGACAAGTAGCCAAAACATTCCACATATGTTCAAATCCCTCTGCCCTCAATAGAAAAGGAGGCCTGATCATTCATCCAAATGAACCACAATTCACCATAGAAGATGAGGAATGAATTAACCAAATCACTTAAAAATCTCAGAGACCAACAAATAATCTCATCTGATTTATACGAAATGATTAAGTTAATGAGAACTCATCTGCCGAGGTTGTTTAGACTACCATAGGTGCACAAACGAAATATCCATTTGAGACCATATATATAACTCCCCGTATCATTCTATAACTAAACGGTTGGTAACTATATTGAAAGTACTCCGAAAAAATTCATTAAACATAGTGTTAAGGATGACTTTGAATATGTTGACAAGATCGAAAAGCGAATACTTTGAAACAAATGATGATGTCCTTAGATTTGAGAGAATTATTCACAAATATTCCGCTCATGGATACCGCAAAATGTATATGTAAACAACTTAGAGGAAACAAAACGGAAACTACGGTTCCGATTAATGTAATAACAGAATTATGACTGAAATACACCATGAATCAGAATTTCATGTTTAACAGAAAAATCTATAGAAAGATGGAAGGAGTTGTAACGCATTCATCACTAGGCCTCTTATGAGCTGACATTTTTCCAACTAAACAAGAACAGATTATTCGAAAATTCACATTTTACTGCCCATATATAGATGATATGTCTATCCTCTGTAAAGATGGCACACTACAATTGGAGATGTTTAGATAATTCAGTGAAGCGTCCCCTTCCATTAAGTTTACATTAGCCTGCATGCATTAGTCTTTTTAGACACTCTATTAAAGAAAGAGAAGCTGGATCAATAAGGTGGAATGCAAACAAGATAAATATGTGGAGAGGGCAGTACACACATTTCCTCAGCTTTGTACTCGCAAACTATAAAAGAAACTTGACAAAAAGTCTTAGTTATCGAATATGTATAGATGCAATCCAAACTTGACCTCAGTATACCGAAACACCTGTCCAACTTTAATAAATTATTTCGTTTCAATTACTTTAGAATAATATTAAACAAGAATGTTTTTTCTTAAATATTCTCAAAGGTCACAATGAAGTTTAAGAAGAAAATTATGTTAGGGTCATCATCATATCGCTGTGTGAAAATTACAAACTATTCATGTTCGAAAAAATTGATCGATTTCACTTGTATTCAAAGATGAGTTGAAATCACTTAATACAGAACTGATTTCATGTTAATGTAAAAACAGAACATACTATTCGTTTGTTAAATATAAAAAAAAGATGGACTTGCTTATTTTCGTCAGTAGATAGATCATGTCCATAAGGCAATCCACTCTCAGTTAAGAAACTGAAAACAAAGCACAATCAATAAATAATGGTTGGAAATTTTTTCGAGAAAAATTCTAAAACTATTTTCATGAACTGAAAAATATCACTAGTCAAAGTAATTGTTAGCATGCTGAATTGATTATTGAACTGTAGCAAAATATTAATATGTAGCAAAAGTGACGAGGCTACATAGATTACTCATACATTAGATCTACCTTTAATTATACAACCAAAAGGATATATAGATTTAAAACTAAACTTGATTTCTTAACAAATATTTGGAACAAATACCTTATGTCATTGTTCAATGACAAAGGTAAGGAAAGAGATCGCATCCAACTTCAGAAATCAATTATAATGTATTCTTATATAACAGTTGCATCAGATAAATCATTGATTAGGCAGTGGTTAAATAAAGTTAGATTTGTAACCATGAATCGATCAATGTTAGACCACCATTAGAAACCTGGAAGCACTGGACGGCCGTTTCGTCCTGGTATGGGACTCATTGATCGATTCATGGTTACAAATAAAACTTAACAATCTTCACAACAACCCCGCAATGCAAAGTTAGATCTGATTATACTGGCGTTTATTAAACTGAAACTACAAGTTTACAATAAAATGAGCTTTTAAGTATAGAAAATGTCCACAACGTAGCGTCATCAAATCACACATTCGGTGCTACATTTTCAAATATTTTAAATCAGACACCTTTTAAAAGTTTCAGTTCCATAGGATCCTAATTGGTTTGCCAAAATGAACTGACAGACTATAGAGTGCTTTTTATGAGAACAGATAACACCATTCAGTACGGTTTTTTCATGAATGATGATCATGAGATGAATATTCCACAATACTTTGGAAACGGAATAAGAGGCTAATTACCTGAAGCTTTAAATATTGAAACATGTGTTTCTTAATAGCTGCATATAAATTCTAATTTGCATTGTCAGTTTAAGTCAATCAAACCATTCGATTATGTGCTGTTATTCTTTCATCTAGTTAAAATCGATATTATTGAACATCAAAGTCAGACAATATATAATATTTTCAGTTTTACTGAATTATTTTCACTCACATTTTCTATTCATTTTGGCAATAAAGCTTAAGACAAATAAATATGTAGAAAAGGAATTCACTAGAAGATCCAATTCGCTAAATCGATTATCAATATTGAGAAATCAGAGAGCATTTTTTGTTTGCTACTTAAAGAACATAGTTTTTAGGTGAATCAGTAGTTAAGGCTTAAAACTACTTTTGATATACTAAGTCTATATGCATTCACCCACCTAATTCGATACCTCATTAAAACTCGGAATAAAATCTGAATAGTTGTAAATGTGCATATTCTGCCAAGCCAAGATATGACATCGTTCATGAAGTCTGTAACTAATGGGTAAACCCGAGCAAGTAAATACAGTCATAAAGGTTGAGATCCCCACAGTTATGATGATTGTTGATTGAAGATACTGAGCAGCTTATTTTAATATCAGTTATAATATCTAAGATTGATTCACTTTTTTGTCTTCCGTCAAATTTTCAGTCTTAAAATTGGCTGATACTTTTATTCCACGAGGTTTTTCTTTCTTCTGGAATCATATTGTCTATTCCTAATGTTTTCTGTTACCACAGTTGCCGTTACTATTTCTCTTATCCCTATCTGTGTTTTAATATTTTCAACTCACAATACAGATGTGCTGTTGCAACTTAAAACGAAGCATATATGAATCAAGTTTTAGGTTGATGATGACTGACTGGTATTAGTGGCAGATGAAGAGATTTAATAACAATATGAAATAAATAATACAAATTTTAGTAAATTACCTGTAAAATGTAAACTGATCGCAAATAAAAGTTGATATCTCAACAGCGGTATAAAATGGTATTACCATCAAGATCAGTATGCATATAACTTTAATATCATTTTTAGAATAAGAGTTATTTTTCGTCTGATCAGCTACAATGGGATGAGGTGTCATATTTCTTCATCAATCTTTAGATAATGTCAAAATTTGAATTTAATGCAAACAACTTTACTGTCCAATTAAAAACCAGAAATCTTTTAGTCTGTCTTATTGCATATTTGGCCATGAAACATATACTACACCAATCGTTTTACATCTACTGACATATAACGTTTCATTTTCAAAATTTCAACCAATAGCATCATCGGTTTTCTTCGATTCAACTAGATCAGTGTTGTTTTAGTTAAATACATAGCATAAAAATTTCTATTTTATAAGCTCTCGATTCCGTTAAGAAAATAATTGCTTTAATATCGTTGAAAGTGCAAAAATATATTCATTTTAGATTCATTAATGGCTATAGATTCGAAAGGCCTAAATGCAAAAACGAAAACTTTGAAACTTTTTGCTTAAAACCTAACTTATTAATAAGTCAATATGATTTTAATAATTGTTCTTTAACTGCTTAACTATAGCTATAAAGTGTTACGAAATTGTTATTGTTACTATGTACGTTTTGTAGAAGCAACAAAATGTAGATAACATTGGATTTCAGTTGATCTAGTCTGGTGTAGACATGAATATTTCAAACTTCTGGTAGGCAAACAGTCAGGGAATGTTTAGTGTGGCAAAGATATCCCATATGAACCATATAATAAAAGCATCTGAATTCAGTGAAACATGCTTATGCAGAACAATTTGTGATCATTATTCACACTTCGATACGGATAGTGATATATATTATGTATACTATTAGCATTATGAATACTCGTTGCCATTTTGCAGTTATGTGGACGCTTATGAAGAGGCGTTAAATATATGAAGTAAAAGTGAAAGGATGACATCTTAAAAAGTTAAATCCCAAACTATATTTGTCTTGTTAAACGACAAATACTTAATTTATAAAGTAGAAGTTTTGGGTTCACTTTGTAATACCTGATAAATATAATTGATTTGTAAACAGTTAACTGATATCTTAAACAGATCTGCAAAAATCAATATATTTGAATACAGAAATGTAACATTTCAGAATGAATCAAATATGATGCTTTTGTCGATTTCACAGAGTTTGATAAGAGAATAGAGCTCATGACTGAAAAATCTATAAGAATCTTATTTACTTAAATTTTGTTGGGTCAGAATATCAAATAAAAATTCATTGATTTTAAGACGAATAATTTCTACCTAACTTACCTACAAATATCAAGTTTTTTTCCAAGTCACATGAGCAATTTAAATACGGTAGATGAAGTAAAATAAGTATAGTAGTAAATAAATAATTTGCATGAATTCTGGAGGTTTAAAAGTTGATCAGTGAATTATCGAACATTTAAATAACATCATATTCTTCTTCTAACTCAAGTTTGTTCTAATGTTATTGTTCAGTCAGTCAGTCAGTCAGTTGCAACGTAAGAACTTCGTACGTATGCACATAAGTTCATGTTGCCATACCACATTAGCACAGAGACGCAAATGTCAAATCAAATCCCATAGTGATAAAGATAGTAGGGGTATAAATGGTAATGAAGAAGACTAGGGTTTGAAGATATTATTCAAGAAGTATAATTCAGTGAGATAAGGTTAGAAAGACAAAGGTAGATGTGATGACGAATCCAGAAGATTAGTATTTGAAGGAGCTCAAAGAATGGATGCACTTGTGACATTGCAGACGATTTTGAGCCATGTCGTTCAAGGTCTCTAACCATTGGTGACTTTCGTCTCGCGGACCCCAACCAGGTAGTCTACATCTACCAACATGACTCAGTCCACTTGTCAGTGACTTCATGGATTTCTGCCATGTTTTGGTCTGGCCGCCGCTAGCTTTCTTATTGTTATTGTTCGGAAAAAGAATGAGGACTTGACAATCAAAAAACCCAGCTCCTAGGATGGAACTCCACCTAAATCATATTTATTTAACCGCAAAGACAAGTACCGACAGCTGAAATTATTTTGGTCTACAACTTTCTACAATGAAGCGTTCTATAATTATTTGTCACATCCAGCAGTGAGGTTACCATTCACCAATAAAAATAGAATAACGAAAGATTTTATATCTAAAAGTTTTTCTAGTGACATAAATGATACAGGCTATATCATTCTTCAAGTCAATAACAGCGCGTAGATTTATGAAATCAAATTTTCTCTACTCTAACTAATAAAATATTGTGATGATTGAGATTCTCAAGCATAAATATTGCAGATGCTTTAACATACTTAGGCGGTTGTCTAAATTGTCAGTTTTATAAAGGCTCTATGCTTAAACTACATTTCGAGACCAGTGTTTTCAGATAAATGTTACTTTCTTTATTATTAATGTCACCAACGATTCCGTCATTCATTAGGACTGTCAAAGTCTTGTAAATTATATATACTACTTTTTAACTTGCCAGTAGTGAAAATCGGAATCGCATTCTTTCCAGTAGATAGTATAGAATTCCAGAATCAGTGTTAATGATACTTTATCGTTGTTCCCCTATTGACTAATGTCCAAATAGATAAGTATCATTGTTTCACATTTTTCTGAGTAACGTCTTCGTTCACACTTGATAAATAGCTTGTTTGACTACTAGTGTCTCGTGAATTAGTCAGGCTAAATATATTGAACTATTCTGTTGTAAAATATAGCTGCAGGCTGATAAACATGAAACATTTTGTTCTCAGTGACATATTATACTTGATATACATATTTATATACGTAACGTCAAAAATAAATTCACTATTCACAACAAAAGTAATCGGTTCAAAATGGTTGATAAGTTTACAGTACGTTAGTGTTCTCTAGAATTATATCAGAAAAAAAATGGATATACTGATTTACCATACATTTGAAAACCTTTTAAATTTAAGGTGTTTATTTTCAATCAATAGAGTAGTAATGTTTGCCTTTATTTAAAGATTTTTCTTTAACTGCCTATTCCTTACTAGCAATAACTCAATTATTCATCGATAAACATTTTGATTACTGATTATTTTATAGTAATATGTGCTGAAAGAAATTTAAATTACTTTTTTTTATGTTCATTGCATCTGAAATTCATATAAAGTTGTTAATTTTTGGTTTATTATGTTAAAAAATAATAGAATGAAGATGAAGCTATACATCAAGTTTGAATATAGTGTAGATATTACATCATACATCATGAATGAACAAATTTTAGATGCATGAGCCGAATTACAAATGAATAATTATATTGGTAATGTTAGTTTAATACACCTGAACTAGTGCAAGTGATCTAATCATAAGTTCAGTTCTTATACGTTAGTAAACTACATCAGGTAATTTTTTCTATTGAAATCAAATTTTAAATTACTTCAGTATTAATGTGCAGGTGAGTTAAGCAGAGTTATTGAATAAATGATGTGGGATTATTGACTAGAGAATGTAACAAAGAAGTAACATGTAAATGAACTTGCTACACAAACATTTCGCCTACAGCTGATGAGTTTTTCTAAAGAATGTTCTGCAAATTTCCGATTGAAAAAGTAACAACTTAATCTAGAAACGTTTACTCGACAATCAGAAATAGTTTATACTCTGTAATTTACTTCGTGATACAGTAGAAATTTATAAAGTGTACTATTACTGATTAAATAAAGACAATAATAAAAGCTTCGTTGTTATTTTTTTATGGACTTTGATGGTTATCGTGTTCAGTGCTATAGCACTGAATAAGACATCTCTATCAAGATTCTTAAATTCAAAAAATTATTTTCAAAGCTATATTAGTGTTAAATCTTATAAGTGTAAATTTATTATTTGAAGACCAACTAAAATTGTTTGTCAATAAATGAAGTTTTAAAATCTTCAAAACATATTTTCAATTATTATTTGGCATTACATTTCAGTTGAGTTTAAACAGAACATTTCAAAATGTTTGTAGAAAATAAGGGAAGTTGAAAACTCGTCTCATATGTGTTTTATAAACTGTCTTAGTTGTGTGCAAATAGCCAGCCACCTTGTAAGCTATTACATTTTACTTTATTGTGACCTATTCCTACTGTTTCAAACTGGAGTCAATTATAGATATTCATGTATGCCATTAACTTACAAATGTTGTTATGACAAGTTACATAGAATGATAAGATAACTATTTTAAGTATCATTTACTCATTTTCCGTATTTTTCTTGATTTCTTAGGGGAAATTTAATTTTTGATATTGAATAGAAAATCAATGAAATATGAGTGAAAGTCAATATCTAACAACACATACAAAATGACAGACTTTATGATCCATTTCAGAATAACTATATATACTCATTGTCAAGCAATATAAATAAAATGAATTCATGTTATAGGAAGAGAATTCACGTAAAAGATATTGCTACTCTTCTCTTTACAAATTCAAAATGATAAACTGAATAAATTGATTGTTACTTCTTAAGTGAAATTGTAATAAAATGATTACTCTCCGTGAATCCATTATGTAAAATATGTCTGACAAAGTAACAAAGTATTTTGTAGATATTTTACAAATACAGAAGTTAATGTATGTTCCAAACCAATATATGGTCTCTCTAAATTTTATTTGTAAAGTTTACATTAGTTAATGTTCTTAAAAAGGTTCAAGTAAATCGAAACGGTAGCTTTCTTGTGTTTTTATCTTTAAATAAATAATATCTATGTAAAATAAATGGAATTTTTTCAAAATTCATTCTTCACTCAGTTTCATCAATACAAAAACAAATGCTTCGGTAAAACAATCTTACAAGCAGATATGCTATGTGCGACACAAAACACTATTTTACATTTTAGTGATTGTAAAGTTTAAGTAAGCTTTTATTATTAGGATGATTGATATAGCGTTTTAATTTCAAGAATTTTCTCCAGATATGAAAATTGACTCACTCTACATACACAGACGTTTACCGAATGAAATTATCTATAATCACTCTTCATTCATCATTGGTTTGCTTTTTACACGTATGTTCTAGGATTCATATTCGACTAGTAAATTCTACGTTGCGTTAACGTGATTAACTAACACAGTGTATATCAAGTTGAAGAGAGGCTACCTTCCAAGCACCATGCAAATATTGTTGTTACTTAACTAAATTAAACAGCATGTACTGAAATATTGAGTCTATATCATCAGCACCAAATATGTACGTAAC